TGATTAAACTGTGGTCGGATTTCTGTCATGTCTGACCAGGAATAGCTAACCAGAGGCAATTTTGCAAGGCAGGTAAAAGTCCAGCTAGAAGTCAACTGTGTAAACAAGACAGTCACTCCCCTTTTATAAGGCCAAAAAAGGGCATTTTTGGATACTTGACAGTGTATATTTGTAAGGTACATGTAACCGATTCTGTTTATAATGCGGTTGTTATGGCAGATACCAGTAGGCATGCATTTAGAAAGAACAGGACACAAAGACATGTTAAAATTGATACATAATGTGTACATACACAAATTATGTACAAGGACAAGTTGCAAATGATGCATTTAAAAAACAACTACCCTGGGTACGTACAGGTACACTCTACACTGCATGTTTTGATATTGTGAGTCTTTTGAAATCATGTACATTACACAGTATGTATGTTTACTGAATACAAGATTGTACAAAAGTCTTTTTAGCTCAATCCAACAGGATCCAACTATTTTATCTGTTGGGTCCTGCTGGGTTGAGCAGTAAACCCCTTGTATATAGTCCGGTTAAAATCTGTTGGATTCTATCAGCAAGCAACTGAAAACTCTTTTTCTTTTCTTTTTTTTACAGTTGATTGATTGATTGAATAGGATATTAATTTCAATGAGTCAGATTCTGTTGGGTTCTAGTAATTTTTATAACGCCAAACTGGACTCTGTTGGATCCAGCAGCAAACAGAAAAATAAGGCACGGTTGGATTCTGTTGGATTGAGCATGACAGTCATTTTATATTTTCATGCACCCAACAACTTGGCAAGTTGGATTGTGTTGGACTGTGTTGGATTAAGCAGGAAACTCATACGAGTAACTGTCAGACTCTGTTGGATTTAGCAGGGTAGTAATGGGGAACTAGGGTTTTTTTTAATAGGGTTCTGTATTTTTCACAGCATGCTGCTTGGGTTTGACCAATTTGTGTAAAAGAAAATGTTAAAATGCAAACAATCTTTTGAGTACAATTCTGGGGAAAAAAAGGGGTACACACATCATTTTGTTGCACAACGTTCTGTTTCTGGTTGTTGTCAAATACTGGACTCAATAGCACAGCATGATGCCAGGCTTTGGGAGAACAGCACAAAGCCAACAATCTAATTTCTAACCCATACAGGAGAAGACTTTACCATTCCTTCCATGCATAACTTGGACTCTGAAAATACAATGCCCGTAGGTAGTAGCCTTCAATATTATATCTTCCATTCATGAGTACACACATTATGAATGCATCAACTGACAAGACATTGTAAACATGTACATCACCAATGGCAATATTTTGAAAATCCTACACAGAAAGGAATTCCCGAGTGTACTTAAAAAAAAAAATCATGTTTTAGGCCCAAAAAAAAAGTCTCCGGTTTCTGGTATGCACGCGCGTCACCGTAGCCATGCGCGTCGGCAAAATTAAAAAGGTTTTGTTTCAAAAAAAGATGATGTCTCAAAACTGCCAAACTCACTGGTTTGACTGGAATCCTGCTGCTGCACAATATTAACGTGTTTTTACATGGGGTTATGATCGAGAATAAGCTTTATGTGGCCTCTCTGGAGACCAGAGTCTGGACTCCCATATATTTGCACTAAGTTTAGTCAGGCATTATTTGCAGTCATCAGCTGACATTTGAAGCAAAAAGAACAGGTAAAAAAAAAAAAAAAGCCGCGTCGCCGCACCACTTTTTGGGAAAGCTCCATACCAGAAACCGGAGACTTTTTTTTTTGGCCTTAGAAGCATGCATGTACACAGTCTTGTGGCAGTATGAATGAATGAATGCCTGCGACGAGGTAAATTTGAGTTGCAATATTCACTGTATCTTAGTACTGGTACATGAATGTGTGTGTACATTTAACACAATGTATGTAAGTGCGTGCCTGTCAATAGCATTATACACATTGCAACAAAGCGACACGAACCAATCGTGCACTATAGGAACAACCCAGATGTGACATTAATAACCAGTGCGACGTAGGCGCGTCTACCTCTTGAAAGTAATGAAGGCTGTTTACAATGTGTTACACATTTATGAAGGATACGTATAATTGTTATTGGGGAGGGGCAGTAGTGCTTGAGCACTAGAAACTCATTCAAATGATGCAGTTGGGTTGGAGCGGACATAGTGGACATGATGGAACAGCTGTGATATACAAACATTTTGTCAAGCTGGGAATTTCATATTGTTTGTTTACAAGTTTACATTAATACGTGTACAATGTAGTAAATGGAAATGTTGACATTTTTGGGTAATTTGCAGGCCCTATTTCAATTTCAAAATTCAATTCAAACTCACGTTTATTTCCATACCAATTGAAAAATACGAGCAGAGAATACATGAATATTAAGTAAATGGAATTTCAAAAAGGTGTAAGGAGCGAAAATATAGGTATGGAGGCATCTTCTAGAAGCCTAGGCTTGTGGCGAGATGCCCTGGATGGACTAACACAGAACAGAAACAGGAACAAGTACACACGGACAGTTGGACCAAGACAGAACCTAAGCATGAAAACTAACAAATAAACTAGAAAAGTAAATAATGAAAGGGAAAAAAAAGCATTTGCTGAAAAACCACATGAGAAGTAAACTATGTCAGATATTGGGAGATGAGAGCTCTTCATACATGTAGGCATGTTTAAATCGACCTACATTGTACTGATGAGAGTGAATTAACCCTAATCATCCCCCCCCCAGCAAAAAAAATAAACCAGTTCCTCATTCATGTCCGTATTTTTTTCCAGACCACTTCCTTTGTTTTTCTTCCTACATTTTGCAATATAATTTTGCAAATATATTGTCAATATATTGATTTTTCTATTTGTTTCAAACAAAATTGTAGTTATGTGGAAACGGCTCCTTTGGACACAATTTGTATCAGTAAAAGATTCAAGAAAATGGTGGAATTCATCTGCCATCTTGAAAAAATCAACCATCTTGGGGAAAAAAGAAAAAGAAAATGCCCACCTTCTTCATTTTTTCAAAAAGCCTAGACAAGAAACTGTTTTTTTGTTTCTTTTCAAATAGTTGGACCATGGTTCGACATGTACAAGTCTACTGTTTAGACTCATTTCGAAATCACTTGACTTCCCTCTCATGTGCAAAATATTGGCGAAATGTCTCCTTTAAAAATTGAATGGAGTCTACAAATTGGTTGGTGAAATACCGGTACTGAGGACATTTTTCTTTGCCCAATGGAATTTTTGGAGAAATTTGCTGTCTAAAGAGAGAGTAAAGTTGGCCTGATTTAGTTTTGCACGTTTCAGAGCACCCCAGGTCCCAGTCTTGGTTCAAACAAACAACGCAACAATTGGCCGACCCTTGCCAGCCAGATGCCAAACTTTGAACTTTAAAAACTTTCAACTACCAGTACTCTACAACACGCGCTCAGTTCACGCCCGAAGGAATTAGGATGTAGTTACTGCATGGTGCCTAGAGCGTTGTCATATCAATATCACATTGACCCATCATGGTTCCCGACTATACGATGACGTATGCATTAGCATAATTAATTTGCACGATGTGCCATGTTAAGGACAGTTAACAGCCGTACAACTGTTGTTGGGTGGCGCAGACTTCGTTCATATTCATTGGGGGATGATTGAATGGCTGTTTGCTGTCGTTTACATCAAGTTCAACATGTTGCACGAATCGTTATGCTAATTATGGGAGACGTCATCTTTATTAGTCAGGAGCCAAGACAGCCTGATGACGCCAGACAGGGCTCTGGAGTGCTCTGAAACGTGCAAAACTAAATCAGGCCCACTTTACTCACAGTTTAGCCAGCAAATTTCTCCAAAAATTGCACTGGGGCAAAGAACATGTCCTCAGTATTTCACCTACCAAGTTTGCAGACTCAATTCAATTTTTAAAGGAGACTTTTCTTCAATATTTTGCACATGAGAGGGAAGTCAAGTGATTCCAAAATGGGGCTAAAGACTAGACTGGTACATGTCCAACCATGGTCCAACTATTTGGAAAGACTGACCTCTTCATTCAGTGTCAATAGTCTGGTGGCTTTACTATGGAGAAATGTGTAGTAAATTGAGACTAGTTCCCGCTTCATGCCACATGTTCCTTAAATTCTTTTGGCATGGTTGATTGATGCAGTACTGAAAGACTGGTTGTTTTAGGTGCCAGTCTATTTTCTTGTTTTGCATGTTTTCAATACCTTAAGTTTTGGGACTCTCATACACAGTATTGAGAGTCCCAAATTTTCGGACTATGATGACGCTAGCGCTATGGCATGCATAACACCTCAATAGCTTGTCGTGCACAATGTTTGCGTGCAAATTAGTGCGACCGTGCCTGTGGATTTGGTGAGAAACTTGTCTGGAAAATACCATTTTTTGGAGGAAAAAACACACTTTCAGAAAAAAATATAAAATATTCAAAAACTCGGGGCTGGACTGAAAAGTGAAAAACCTAAAACAAATCTATTTAATGGCCTAAACACAATGAATAGATTTTGAAAAGCCATCTCAAAATAATGAAAACGTGGATTTTGGCAAGTTTTGCTGGGTAAATTCCACCTCTCGTTCTTGACAGCATAATTTTCTGTGAAGTAATTCGCAACGTCTGCGACACATTTCTAATCATGTTGTTAATAATAACACAGCTTGATGTGATTGTCAAACGTAAACACTAGACTGATTCTCGGTCCTTTCCCTAGTTTCAGTTCCATTTCCTTCACTGACACTGACAGTGATCCCGTTCTGGCCATCAATCATCTTTAAAATGAAATTGAAATACTCAAATTGGGGACACAAATAGAGCTTAAAAATATCAACATTGCAACGTCATATGCAGTATTTTTGTAATGGCTAATGGTAATAACTGGATAATGTTTGTCTGCTATAACCATAGAGCACGGAACAGAAAAATTCACAGGAGTTTGAAGGGTCAGTAGACATTGGTGACCGCCCCCTCCCCCGTCTAATGAAAACAATCTTCCCTCAACTGTAAGACTTCGTCTCAAATTCCATCTCACCTGTTCACACCTCGAGGCCGGCGAATTGCTCAGAACGTCGCATATGACTGGAGGAAAACTAGTTCCCTTTCCTCCCATCAGGGAGAAACCGAATCCCCCAGAAAGAGCCCGCTGAAGATTCAAAGTTTTCACCCCGTCGGCCATTTCGTCCATGTTTGCACGGTACACACGTACATGACGTATGCACGGATTATTTTGACCATTTTTTAGCGATATCGCTGGTCGTCACAAATTAATTTGTACGCGGAATCAAATACGTTAACAAAAGGGAAACCAGCGCGACTGGATGAGCACTGGTGCGCCACAAGGTGGCGTTATTTAGAAAAATAAGGGAACACGTGTGGGAAGAAGAGGGCGCTATAACACTACAACGGTCTCGTGGATTCAAGATGGCAGCTTCCATGGCTCAACTTTAATGATTTCAAGCCAGCTTATATAATTGTTGATTTCTTCGTCATCTGGACACTGATGCTTGGTATTTATGGCTAGTCAGCATTCTGAGATTTTGAGCAGTAAGTTCCAGGTTTTATTTTACCTTGCTTAGACCGTAAAAATGCAGGGAAAGAAAGAACTTAATGTTTGGGCGGCCGCTTTACTTTAGTACCTGTTTACAATACGTACGTACACGTGTGCGGACTATGGAATCATTAGGGCCTGACTGTTAATAAAATAAACTAGCGACAAGTGGCTAAAAACACTTTAACTAGTACTGCAAGTACAACAACAGCAATCTTGAATTCGTGCATGCACAGCATTATACTACAGATTCAAAGCTATAAAAATAACCATGATCTGGGCCCTAAACAGTGAAACATGCTAAATTGTAAATGTTCTACATCAACGTCAATCATCATATATTTTTATGATCTAAAGTTAAACTTAAAACTGTTTTTATTATTCCCCCCTGTTTTTGCAGATACACAGAAGATAAGTCTCCTACAGCCCCCGTCTATTTTGTAACAGGTCACTGCTTGAGGAATTTCAACAAAGTGCTATGGGTCCAATATCAGTAGCTGTGCTTCCTAAAGGACTCTCATGTTGCTTTCATCATCTTAAGCCATTGTGGAGGACAGAGACACGTTGTAAACTGGAGACTACTTTTGCAGTGTTGACAGTACCTGTGATGAATGATAACAATCCAAAGTATATGACAACTCAGAGATGTCATACAAAGAGTAGTAGAAGCCATTGGCAGTTCTCATCGACCCAAACTCCTAATGTAAAACCGAGGACATGTTCCCATACACTTCCGACTGCACTGTTGTCTGGGAAGATGTGCCTGCATCAAGTGCCGCTAGGACTCTTTCAGTCAAGACGTTACATATCCACAGAACCCACCACAGCTTATGAGGTCTTGCTGGCCTCCAAGCCTGTCCAGTTATCCCAGGCACTCTTGGAGTACAGCCATGACTTGATGGGTCTCCCCTGGTGCGCCAGTCTTGTCTTATCCACCTTCTTGCTCCGAGCCATTCTCACCTTCCCTTTGGGAATCTACAGCCAGTACATCAGAGCAAAGGTAGTTGACTCAAGGAGAATCTGTAAAAAGGAGGGCTCCTTTGGAAAGCAGTTTTCTTAAACTGAAATGGACTGCCCTCGTTAAAGAGGGGTCCGCTCATAAGTCCGACGCCTCATAGGTCCGACGCTTCATAAGTCCGACAAAATCGCATCCCCTAAACAAATAAAGGTCCATAAGTCCGATGCCTCATAGGTCCGACACCTCATAAGTCCGACGCCTCATAGGTCCGACGCCTCATAGCTCCGACGCCTCGTAAGTCCGACAAATTAAACGCCTCGTTTTTCCGTTGTCGGACTTATGAGGCGTCGGAGTTATGAGGCGTCGGACCTATGAGGCGGAAAAATAAATGTTATGCCTCATAAGTCCGAAATTTCGGACTTATGAGGCGTCGGACCTATGAGGCGTTGGACTTATGATACGGCCCCGTTAAAGATTACAATAAATAAAATAGTAAAAAAGACTGTGGAATGACCAGCCATCGACAGTAACATCAGGGTGAACTTTATCGGTCGTAACGTAAAATGGGTTTGGTTTGATGTCATTGGTTGCGCATTTGGTGACTTGGGAAGTACACGTACAGTAACCAGTAATATTTATTCCCTTTTCTTATGTTTTGTTGGTTTTGGTCTCTTTTACAAAGTGCATTATTCATGTGTTTGGAACTGCTTAGTATCAATACAATGGTATTACTGCTATTGTAATTATCAGTACATATCATTTTATGTTAGGTGGAGAGACTGCAGCCAGAGATTGTCATGATGGCCAAGCAGGCGTTTGTCCGGAGGTTTGCAGAAAGAGCAAAACTAGAAGGATGGTCTGAGAAACGAGCCGAGAAAACAGTCATGGGATTGGTAAGCAATTTACTCGGTCCTCATATAACCTCCTTAGGCTAGCAAATTCCAGCGTGATATGGGAAACTGCGCACACATATTTCTGACTTTGATTCTGGAGGTGTTCCAACCTAATGTAAAAGACTGTCAGTTTAGGGGTACTGTACCCATCCTGACAGATTCCAACAAAACATGCCGTTTGGGTTTGATGGGTTGAGTTCTGTTAGGGTTAAGTTAATTTATTTTCGTTCGCATTTCAGGTGAAGCATTACTCCAAGGAGTTGTTCATCCGTGATAATTGCCACCCAGCTAAGGGGTCCATATTGTTCCTGGTGCAGTTCCCACTGTGGGTGTGTCTTTCAATGGCACTCAGGAACATGACTGGGGCCTTCAGTGGAACCGTCTATCTTGGTGAGTGATGTTTGACGCAGATAAATTAAAAGTCCTTATACCCTCAGGATTTGGGTATCAGTTAGAAACCCACAAAAAAGTTGCACGATGACCTCATCATGACGTCACTCTTTTTTTGCATGTATAAAATGAATTCTACATACCTACCGAGTTTCGTGTTTGGACTATGCTATATATGCTTTGAAACTTGCATTTATGATGATGTAATGTCCCCTAACCCAAACATGCATGTATAGGATATATATTCTACTTACATACCAAGTTTCATGATAATCGGACAGTGTTATATGTTTCGACAATTGCATTTGTGATCATGTAATGTCCCCTAACTTAACCTGAAACCCAAACCAAGTGTCAGTTCCCAAAATAATTTGCAATAACTTCAGCGAGATTTGACCTGCCATATGTTCTGTCTCCCCACAGATCCGGCCAATGTTGTTCCCGCATTGTCAATAGAGGGCGCTCTTTGGTTCCCAGACCTGACTGTGCCGGATCCGTTCTACATCCTCCCTGTGCTGGTTGGAGTCTTGAACCTGTGTAACATAGAGATGATGGCCTTGCACAGTAACCCGGTGTCCCGGACGCAGCGTTACGTCACCAACTTCCTCCGCGGCCTATCGTTGGTCATGATTCCTATAGCAGCTTATGTGCCGACAGTAAGATTTTTTTACAATTTTTGGAGGTCAAATTGTAGATATGAGTCTATGTGGTGTTCTTATTGAGTTTTTATTGTGTGGTTTTCTGTTTAAAAGCTGTCTGTCCCTGTATTGCCCAAAATCGCCCTGTTGCTCCCTGTACCGCCCCAACCTGCATGACACTGCTTGGTTTTATGGACTTAGCAGGGAAAAAATACAATGTAATACAATGTAATACAATGTAATACAATGTAATGTAATGTAATGTAATGTAATACAATGTACTTCAAGTGTTTATAGGTTAAGCTCATACATTTAGTTCTATAGAATGAAATATATATTAAGAATAATGAAAATCTAAATAGAGGCAAAGGTGTAACCTAGGCTAAATGAGAATTTAAATAAAACCAGTCACATGATTTTGGAGAAAGTTTAGATTTACAGAAGCAATTTATGGAAAAGTTACAGGAAATTCAATGATATGATGTAACATATTACTACATTTAACTTAACATTGATAGGATTGTTTTAATGAATTTGTTATCTTTTCTTTGGCATCAAAAAGACCCTTTTGGTTGAAATTTGTAAGTTGGGCAAAACTGATGGAAAAGCTGTGGATGGCATTTCATGTATTAATAGAAATCTTCCTTCCATCATGCAGAACGCATCAATGCCATAAGTGCATAGTTAATTCAAATGTTTTGTCTATTGAAATCCACCAGCAAATCACCATTGTGTTGACTGCAGGCGTTTTAGACCCAATGACCTGTACCTAGATTGCTGAATACCATGTACAAGGAAGTACCGTTTCCTTTACTAAATAATTGAAACTAGTCTGTCCTTGTCCCTAACCAAAGCCGGAAGATTCAACACAGATAGATTTTTTGAGAGAATTTGTTGGATTCTGTCCAGGGGCATGGAAGGGAAATGGCAGTGCATTTCATTGTAGTTTAGAATGAGTCAAATCAAGAGTTGAAACATATCCAAACTGTTCTTTCTGTTGGTAATGGAGTTTTAATTGATTTAGAGACAGAGAAATATAAATAGCTTAAGTTTAGATAACAACTGCAAAGAAAATTTTAGATAATATTGAAAAATAAGCACAGGCGCTATAAAAAAAAAATTTTTCCCCCGAAGAATAATAATAGGCCTTTTGTAAGTTTGGTAAATGTTTGGAAAAAAATGTTGCCAAAAAAGGTGCATTTGTGCATTAAAAACAATTTAATGAATTTTATAACTTTCGACTTTAAAATCTCTAAAGTTGGCTTAAGATCAGTGATTGGTTAGGCTTTGTCTTGTTCCCTGTGGTACAAAGAACCAGATACTGTTACAAGTTGGGAGATTGGTTATCTTTCAAAAACAAGTTTTTGTAATTTGGCAATCCATCTTTGCAGTTTAAAAATATGATTGAATCCGATATCGTTTTCAAATTCTTAAAAAAAACTACATGTACTTAACTAATGTCTTGGCGGCAAACGCTCATTGTCACCATGCATGGTATTAAATAAAAGGGGAAAAATATATAAAATGTTTCCCTAATCTCATGATGGCAAACTTATTTAATGGCAATATTTAATGTAAAAAGAATCATCATAATTCATGCATACATCCGGGAAGTTGCAAAAAAAGGAGGAAATTCCAAGTTTTACAAAAATGCATACTGTTGTTTTTTTTCAATTTAGAATGGCATAAAATTGGTGTGAAGTTAAAAAAGAAAAAAAAATAGGAAATCAGCTGATCCGAGAACAAGCTGCATACCTGTCTTATATTTGCTTTAAAATCGTCTCTTGTAGTTTTATTAATTTTTTAAAATGTAAATCACAATACTTGAACAGATACTTACTTTTTTTTCCCAGGCGATGACTCTCTATTGGGCCTCCTCTGCATTCTACGGTCTAAGTCAAAACATCCTCCTGAAATCACCCAGGGCCCGCTCCGTCCTCAACATCCCCTCGGCCCCGTCCGATAGCCAGACGCCGTTCCGAGACATGGCCGACATCTTCAAGTCAAAGTACCTGCGGAGAAAGGGGACAAGTGTGAAGGAAGAGACAGGAGGAGATGCAAGGGAGGATGTCGTGAATGAAACAGGGAGAGACGGAGAGGGGGTGCAAAAGATGAGAAGTGGGAAGAAGGAGAAGAGATGATACAGGAGAAAGGCTGACAATAGCAAACCAAGACTAGACTTGACTAGTCCTGCTGGACATGATTTATGCTCAGCGACTAGGTCAGTTATTGAGCCAGTTACTAGTTAGTGACTCATTTAGTCAGAGGACAATAGGCTGGCCAGCAGAAATTTTTAAGGAGATCAGGAGCTCTTCAAGAGAAGTAGGATTCTTCAAGACGTGAAGATGCCTGCACCTTGAACAGGAAGAGGCAAGGTGAGGAACAATGGTAATATAGAGGATGGTGGAGAAGTGTTGAAGTTTCTCGCGCCCTGTGCAATTTTCAAGTTTAACCAGAACATTTTTTTTTAAATTAATTGCTATTTTTTTCTAGCAATAAAAAAAGTTATTCACCTTTGAATTAGACGAATTAAAAACACTCGCCCTCGTTTAGTTGTGCGATAATTACTTAAAGTTTGAATAATTTGAATACTTTTTTAACTTTTTGAATGACTTGTTTATGTGCTAGAGGCGTGAAAGCCACCTAAAATAAAAACCTTTCAAAAGGTTGCTGACGTTCAAAATAGAAAACTCTTCTTTTTTTTCAAATGAAATTTGTTGCAAAGCAAAGGGAGAGTAAACTAATGTTAATACAAAGGAATGAAAAAAGGCAACAGTTTCAGAGTGGTGAGTATATTGCTGTCCACTTCAAAGTCCACTCTTGCCGCTTTGATTTTGTCATAAATGTTTTATTGATGATATCCTAGTGATAAAATTTTGGGTAACTGCCAACATTACACATTGGAAATCTGCCAACTCAAGGTTTCACAGACGCGTGTCGATAAATGGCCTATTATCACCTACTGCAAAAGTCTGATCACTGGACTGAGTGGTGAACTTGGGTGAAAGTTTTTATGGATGCATGAAAGAAGAAAAATCCTTTTCAAATGACATACTGTACATTTTATAATGTTACTCAGACCCATTCTTGTCCTTCAACTGAATCAGAACATTGATATCATCGCAAGTGGGTTTATCCACCATAAGTTAATTTAATCACCTTCCCCAAAAATGCAGTTTTCAAAAAGGAAAAAAAGTCAAACAAATAACTACATGTTCATACCAGCCCAACATGTTTCGAATGAGTTTTTTTTTGTATGAACTTTAAATGTTTTGGTAAAAAAAAAGTTAAGTGGATTTATAAAAAAAAGAAGAGTGTATCGATGAACAGAAAACTAAAAACATCTGTTCTTTGAACTAAAAGGTTACAATAACAAACAGTTTACAGTTCATGTCAATTTGGTTTCGTGGCTTATGATCCGCAGTTGGTTGAATCATAGAGCTCTATGGTTGAATCATCACTATAGGTGAAAAAAGTCACCCTTCTGTTGACGTATGAGGGCAAGCTTGTGACCCGATCCCTTCCCCTGGGGATTACGTGCCCCACCGGTTGTGTCCTTGGGAGGTTCGGGTGGGGAATGAATCATGTTTCTATTCCAGGGAAAGGAATTGCTTTAGTAAGCAATACATTCGGTTACCTGGCAACCACAGATAGCTGTGGAAATGGGCCGGTTCACAACATCCCATGTTGAGTTTCAAGGCATATGGATCGTTTGCTTGTCATTGCATTGAAGGCATGAACAACTTCCAAAGAAGAATGCTCGGAACCTGACATGTTCAAAGTTTTAGCTCGGTGGATATTACACTATTCAAGACAGAGTGGAAAACCATGCACAACTTTTGATCACGAAACACGATGTCGTCAGTAGCACTCTTTATTCTAAAAATCACTCAATTATTATTGACTGCGTTGGAAAGATTTTCTGGAAGTTCTTCTAAATGACAGCAAGGCAGGCGAAATAATTTGACGGGGTGTTTAGAACCAGTACGATCTATAACCAAGTAAGCTTTTTGATAACAAATAAGACGATAGGTTACTTTTGGGACAAATGCAAATGATCCGTTGTGTCTTTAAGCATGGAGCTATGGTTAAGGGCATGATCGTCATGAGTTCATTCACGGAGCTTTTTGAACGGAATTTCACGGATCAATGGCGACGAGAAAAGGTCTATCAATTACCATGGGTCCCGCTTGACAACTGTTGAAATATATAAGCAGGCAAATGCAAGACAAATTTGGATGATTTCAGTGATCAAGCTTTTAGCCACATTCCGCAACCTGAATTCCTAGGCTTCCATAATTGGAGATATTTGTCATGTAATGTTGAGTCCCTGCATGATACGGAAACTGGGGGTTTCCCTGGAATTTCCCTGGAATATCATTCCGGAGTTCAGGCGTCCGTGTAGATTAGACCGCGTCACGTCACGGGAGTACCGCCATCTCAGTGTGATCACGTGGAAATATTTGGTGGCAAGCACGTACGTCCCATCATTGCCATTCTAATTTTATATCCTCGGCGTGATTTGATGTATTTTCTATGAAATGCCCCCAAAGATTACCATGCACGTGAACAAAGATGGCGGCGCATGTGCACTTTTGAGAAATTGGTGTCGTTGTAGGTGATAAAGATTACAGAAGTACCAAGGCATAATACTCTTCTGAAATTTAAACTGGATTTTAATTACAGTAGTAACAGAAAGGGGGAAAGACGCCTGTTCTTACCTATGCGTTCATGTTTCCACTCGTTTCAATACGTTTAAATACGTTTCTACCCTAAACAGCGCCACCTGTTGTCAGATGCATGGTCCACCCGAACTTTTTTGAAATTCGAACGACAAGATCGTACGTTCCCATGATCTAACTATTTATCAGCCGGTAGTTGGTTTTTTTCTCCCAAGAACAACTTTAAATCATTTATTGGAGTTTTTTTTTGCTTTTACCTTCATGATGTCTCTTCGCAGTTGCCTAATTTGGGTATTTTTGATGTCAGTGACACCGAGGGAGATCCCTCGCCCAACGGGATGTTAATGTCAAGTTGGGCGTAGACATTGTTCCACCCAGTCAGTAGCCAGATCGAAAATGAAACCCATGCACTCATTCGAAAGGAAATTCACGCACCAATCCTGACATAGATATAGCCCGATGACGGGAACTTCAAACTATGTCCTAGATTGATTCATGTAATTGATAAAGTTCTATTTTCCATAAGACATTAGGGGATGACTGGTTGATTGGCCTTCGAATTTAAGGCTAGTAGTTTTGTCGCATGAAGGAAAAATGTGAAATTAATTTCACTTTCGAGGTGAGTCTGTCCCTCTCCCCGTTAGCCACCCAAGTATGCTTGCGCTTCAAGACAACGCCACCTGTTGTGCCGTACGGTGTAACGGTGTAGTCTTTTTGTCCAGCCTTCAAAATGCCAAGTACCCCCAACTGAAACTGTAATGCCATGCTGTTTTCACGGAGGCGTAAGGTCAAAGAAAAACGAGCCTTATTTGGAAGCAACCTGTCAGCGACAATAAGTTTCTTTTTATTTAGTCAGTTCATTGAGGGTATTCCTCCATGGTTAGTAATGCCAAGTTCCTTTCGAAGTTCACTTTCCTTTTTTGATCATGCAACGTTTCGCTAGTCAATGACAGCATCTGTTAGCGGGTAGCCACTGAACCAATATAAAACACCGTGGGAAGTCGATTGTTCTTGAATGTTATTCAAGCACCCTCCCACCCTTTCCCTTGAACACCCCCCCCCCCCCCTTTTTCCAGGTACATTGCATCCGTTCACATGCACACCGCACGCGACACCCACAAGGCAAGCGTGCATGACGTCATCAGCGATTATACAGCGCTCATTGGCTGAAAGCGGAAAGCCCAACCACCCACGCGGTGCACTCAACCCTGGTTCTAGCCAAGCTAGCTTGTTGAGTGACGTATCTATACTGGCAAGAAACATCTGTGTTGGTTGGAAGAACGCAGCTTGGCCGCAAGTCACCGATATCAACAAATTATTGCGTGGTTGTTACCGCAGTTGCTTGGACCACCAATAAACAGTGTGGTTGATAAATTTGCAAGCCGCGGAACATACAACTACACAACCGGGAAATTGCTTCTTCGAGGGAAGTGATCCGCATACCTCTTCAAAGTTTTGCTGGATACATTTCTCTACTCGGACGCCAGCAGTATGCGCGCAATACGTCTTCTAGGATTCACCATAGCTTTATTTCTTTTACTTGAGGTAAGCCCTTATTATTTATCAAATTTCAGTTATTAATGGGAAATGTGATAATATCTGCTCTATGGAAATACATGTATCTATTATTTTGCATCCCGTTTTCAAACCAAGTGCATAGGGCATGGAGCTAGGATAGGGGGCGGGGTGCATACCTATGTTCCCCAATACCGATGTTCCCCGAAATCCCTACCAATATAATCCTGTGTTCTTATTCCTCCATGCCCTAATCCTAGCCCTAACCCTATTATAACCCTAACCCTGGGATTTGGGGGAACATCGGTAGTGGGGAACACCTCCATGGTATTCGGGAACATCGGTCATGTCGGTTAGATCCCGGATAGGGTCAGAGGTATATATTTGCCTTTCACGCCTTTAAGTTTAAGCATTGTGATACAGGTGTTATGCCTATAATATGTAGGTATATTCGATAATCTAAGTTAAGGAGAAATCTGTCAACATGAATAAACGAATGTTTATCCGTCAAGGTCACCAATCCATATCAGTCATATTTATAGACTCGTGTTTAGAACACGATTGATGAAAAATTGTAAACATTCTCCAGTTGCTGCAGGGTGTACGTTTATTTCTCCATGGTTTTGTGTAAGTGGTCCGTGGTTTAAATAAGGTCAACCATGTGCCGTGACAGTTTGTATGGTAGTTCTTGGAAGTTGTCATTCACGCGAACGTTGCTAAAACGGATGAAGCATTTCTCAGGATACCCACCAAACATTTGTGCCAAACTACGCAAAAGAATGGTTGCGATCGTACTTCGGAAACGTTTGCGTTGCTCATGCAAGTAAAATGGAACGCAACACTGATTTCTTCAGTGTGCGATGCAGTTAGGCCTACCTTTCCTTTCTGCGTGCATCGACTCAGCCAAACGGTTCTGACTGTGACCTTATAGAGTGCAGTGGTGAATCAGTGCAGTTAATGCCGGAATGATGATGTCATAATGTTACCGGTTTATGATGGCGTTCGACGCCAAAAGCTTATGGAACATCTTTTGTGCACTGCAGTCACTTCCGGCTATTAACTGCTGTAGGCTATATCCTGTTCTGTGATATCTTTCATGCATAAATCATCGTTTTCATCTCTTCTTCACGTTCTTGTCCAATCGCGATTTCTAACCCGATGGGTGACATTGGTGCAGAAATCCGAAGAGGGATCGCCCCATATTTCGAGGCTACAAAAATATACTCCCAAAAGATTATCAAACGATCATTTTCCCGCCCGTTTCCTGAGATGATTCCCCTGATTTGCCCCCTCTCGGAAATGCGACTAATCATCACACCAGGTTCACGAAATGTATACTTTGGTAACGACAACGGAAAAAAATGACACTCTTTGGATAGCGAAAACCAACACAAGAATGGGAAGGCAAAAGTACTGTAATTTCCCAGAAAACGATACTTGTGGATTTACTAAGGCGCTAGCCAAGGTAACCATGAATTTTGGAGTACTGTAACTATGTCTAAATTTGAGAAATTGAGAAATCAAACAGGGCAGAAAGATCAAGTTACCTTGGTTGATTATACAAATTAATCTTAACGAATGGTATCCGTTTCCAATCAGTGAGTAGGACGAAAGCAGTTAAATCCACGCAAACTTAAGTTGTAGCAATGACATGAATGAGTAAAGCAGCTCGTGGGCTGAAAGTCGTGTCGAACGAGGTCCATGAAAAAAAGGACACCGAAAGGTGACTGCAGTGCAGCCGTTCGGCATGGGCCAGCAAATTTACGCCGCTGATAGTGAGACCTGTCGATGCTTGAAGTAAAAAATACAAGATGTGAACTGTTTATCCCCCGGACTGCAAAGTCTGTAGCTTTTCCTTCTCAAATCTCCCAATTTGCCCAAAAGGGGTAGAATAAAAGACGGTGTTTTTTTCCCGAGGGACACTGTCTTCTTGGTACGATAAGGACTGCTGACCAGCTGGTGGGAATCAGTTTCGTTGCGTGAGGTCTTTTTGCTTCATCAACTATCTGCTCAGGTTGCTGGCATTTGAGCCATTAGAATAAATACCATTCAGGCCGAAACGATTTTAAACGCAAGGTTATAATTGATGTTTATCGGCTAGACGATTTTGTTTATATCCGTAGAGGTTTATCCATAGTTTACTTGACCACTTGGGTGCGCGTGCAAGGAGAATCCATAGAGCAAGGGGAATCAAACCATGGAGGAATAAGAACATACTTACTTACTGAAAAGGCGCTATAACGGCCTTGAAATTTGAAACGTCTGGGCTTACTTACAGATACCCTTTTACCAAAGTTATGGAGAGAATATAATATGTTCTAACCGGAAGAGGCTGAAAAAAGTTTTTCTTAATAGGTTTTGCATTTGCATTTTGCATTGCTAGAGAATGCCATCGAATTGAGCTGACGACTTTAGACGAATGGCGCCGCATATATTTCATTCTCGAGAGAATTACAATGCACATTGAGAGTTGATACTTGTTTAAAAGAACTGGAAGTGGAAGTGGACCTGTTTAAAGGAAGTGGCGAAGATTGTCCACGGTCCACTTGAGGAATAAAAAAAAGGGAGGAATAAAAAAAAAATAAGTATGATTATCTGCGCATTTGTCCACGCTTCTAAAGGGAATCTCTTCACCAAGTTAAGTTGTGAGCTTACAAGGTAAATCTTTGCAAAACTTTTCACAGCAGTGCCGCATATTTCTGTCAAATGTTCACAACGGGGAATTTTTATTCTGAAGAAATCTGGTTCGACTGATATATCTGATCGCTCATAAAATGAAAACGTTTGAAATGTTTACAACTGATCATTTCAAATCCTTCCATTTTTGGCAATACTGTATTAAATAAACGAAGCGACTCTTGTGAAATGTATTTATTTTGATTCATTTTGTATCTTTTAAATAAACATGTTTGCGATATGGTGGAATAAAACTTATGAACGTTTGTACTTTTCAATTTTTTTTTAGGAATTGCAAATTGCTCAGTTTTGTAAGGAAATTATACCTCTGTTTTGTTATAAAAATGGAGCCCCCTTTTTTCAACTATTGCTTTTCAAATGTTATATTAACAAATGGACTTTATTATCAATTGCTTTAAACACAGGTCGACCATGTCTTCAGTAAAGAACTCGGTCTTAAATCACGGAGCAAGATAAAAGAAAAGAAACTACATCCCCCCAAAAGAGGTATCATAATTTTATGATGTATGATATAGTGACATCAAAACACTTTTTGATGTTGTCTTTGTGTTTGTTGACAAACAATATTGCATTTGAAGAGAAAAGTTCCGCCATCTTAAACAATTGTTTTCAATATACTTTTCTCAATGTATTTTCATGTCCAAATTATTTTTGAAAAAGATGATTTAGTGTCCAAGTCCTAAATAGTAGTCTGATTCAAGTTAGATACAAAATTTGGAAATTTAATTCGCATGATAAAAAGTCTGGAAATGTTAATCATCAAAATTTACATGACTGACTTTAAACAGAATTTATTTAAAAGTGTCGCTCCCAAATGATGCCAGTTGTAACTTATAAAATGACTTCAAATTTGTCCTCTATAGTTGACAAGGTTTACTACGTTAGCAACAGACATAGGAGGGATTCTGGCAGCAGTGATGAAGGAGATGATGAGGATGAAGAGGAGACTGGAGAAGGAGACTACCGTGCACAGTATGGGAAACCCAATGCACCAAACACCCATAAAAACACAGGAGGTATGGTTCTGTGAGGGTTATGTAACATTGATTAGCCTTCTCTCAAGTCTGGGTGGGTAATGCCTGTAGATATGACCATAGAGCATGACATATTACTTTTAGGGGAATAATTTGTAATTCACTTTTACAAGATTGTATTAAATTTGAAGAAATGTTGTTTATTCTTTGTTCACATCAGGTGCACCTCAAGCTGAGACTGAATACAGCATAAGGTGAATATTCTTTCCATTTATTATTTTTTTCCATCTACAAGGGAATTGTTTAGCTTCACCTAATTAAAGAGTGCTTATCTTTTCCACCTTTGTTTTTCCCCTAAAAAAAGTTACTGATTCTGTCTTGCTTGTGAGACAGGGTAGTTTCAAACATAATCCAGATATTTTTCGAAGAACAACAAAATTAGTTTTAAATTGCTAGATTTCATAGACTTAGATTTTAGCTTTTTTGTGAGTGAAAAGTTTTTTTGAGTGAATTCCGTTATTTCATCTTCATCAGTTGCAGCAATTTAAGATAGACTTAATGTCTCTAAGATTCAGTTTGTCCCAAATGGTGTGGTTTCAAAGCAGACGTGTTTTGACAAAACTGTTTCTTCTTGCCACAGGTCTTTTTCCTTTTTCACACCCTCATTGCTCCAAATTTTCGTTTTTTTCAAGGCTCGTTAATGGTAGGAATGAGTACGAAGGAAGAGTGGAAGTCAAGAAAGATGCCAGTAGCAGATGGGGGTTGGTGTGCGACGACTACTGGGGGATGGAGGAGGCAACGGTCGTCTGCAGACAACTCGGATATGGGTAAGATTTGTTACATGTAAAGTTGAAACCTCCATCACAGATATCAAACACCTGTTTGATCAGGGTTTCAGAGCATTGGTGGATCTAGATCAGTAGGGGTCAGTGGGAAGACTATCTCTGCTGGAACGTAGCCATCTGACTATGGTGGCGCTGAAATTGTCACAGCATATATGATGACGGACACACAATTTCACTTACTGGACAACAGTTTTGCTAACGAATAATGGAGGCATTTGACAAACCCCCTCCTCTAGCCACACCCTGGTTGCCCCTCCAAATGGGTACAAGATATCCCCAAATCAACACCACTTTCACTACCGTACCTGACTTTCCTGAATATGTTACTTCTTCAGTGACCCAGTTGAGGCGGTGTCCAACGCACTCAACCGTTTCAGCGGCAGCATCGGGAAGAAACAATACGTGATGGACGACATCCAGTGTCGGGGGACGGAGGACGCACTGCAGCTGTGTCAGTTTGCGGGCTGGGGGGTGACCAACTGTATCTCCGATATTGAGGTTGCTGGCATTGTCTGCTCGCCACCGAACATGGATCCTGATGCTAATCCAGGTAATATTTTTCATCTTTGAAATTTGGGGATGGGAGAATGGAGAAGTGAGCGTGTTATATTCACCATGTCAAGAAAAAAAAAATTGACAAAGTTTCGGCTCTGATCGAAATTTTAAGTGTCTGATATTTTTGGGTTCACAAGTACATGTACTTCAGTTCAATCCAGTCAGCAAGCAGTTTCCAACAGTTTTATTCATTTTCAAGATAATTCTTTATTTATTCATGTAATTCCTTTTATTTTTGACTTGTTATTTTTGTATTACAGTATTCTGTGATTTGAATGCATGATATCCACACACTCATAGATGTATCAATTAAAAAGTTGAACATAAACCTGAATGGAGCGAGATTTGAATACCGTACTGGTGAAGGGAAAAATTGTTTTGGCAGTTTTTCGTGGGGCAAGGGGTGGGCAGATATGTCCCCATCCTACCCCGTATTCACCAGTGCCGTGTGTATTGTTAGCCTTTGAACCCCTTTTCAGTAGGCAAGGCTGCTGAGACCCTCGTGGTGTTTGACGTCGATGCCTCGGATTTGCCAGACTGGCTTCGGTCTGTCGTACGAACTGTTAGTCGTCAAGGTAAAGCAATTAATAGTTAATATAGTTAATCGCAACAATTTGCGCTTGAGCTGTTTTTCTTTTGCATGTCTGAATGCTTTTGCCTCTGGTTTAAATTTTTTTACTTTTTTAAGTTAACCTGTTAACCCTTTTTGCTTAGGTTGTGGGTAAAAAATGCTTTGAAGTACTCAAAAGCCACTTTTTCTTCCTGTTTATTTTATTTAGCTTATTGTAGTCTAAATATACTAGGTTTTATTTTCTTTGTGTCTTTACTAATAAAAAAAGTTAAAAAAAAACAATTTTTTTTCGTTGCTCCAATTTAAAAAAAATTGACTTCACTTGTCACAGATAGTCCAGTTGAAGTAGATTTGCATTTATAATCCCACCAAATATAAAAATGAACGTTTGTTTCAAATTTGCATTGAAAAATAGCTTCTGAAATTGATTCTGAATATCGGATCATATTATTGACTGCCGTGTTATGGAATGTCAGTTGATTGGTAGTTTAATGATGATATTTTTGTATCCAAATTTGTGCTAAAAATAGTAAAATTATCTTCATAATGTTAACTATGCAATACCTGTTTTGTTGGACAATCCAGCTCAATCTCCAGAATGCTACAATCTTCTTGGCGGAGAGGATTATCGGGGGACTGTCTCTCAGACAAGAGGTGGCATTCCGTGTCAATCCTGGGGTAGCCAGTCCCCCCACAGCCACACCGTCGTCCCCCAGGACTATGCCCACCGGGGGATCGGGCAGCACAGCTACTGCCGCAACCCTGATGATGACGACCAACCCTGGTGCTACACCAGGGAGGGCGGGACGCGATGGGACTACTGTGACGTCGGACGGGTGTCGCAACAGAAATGCAGAAATCCTGGTAGAAATTTACCAAAAAAAAGTCTAAATATCTGAGGCTGCGTCTGAATGGCTGTGGCTGGCGGTATAACACACGTGTCTTTTGGAAGTGGCTTCAGCCACTTTCATAGATGCATGTGTAATAGTAAGCCATAGTCACAACTAATTTGGATGCGGCTGTTAGTTTTACAAAAGCAAAGCTATTTGTGTACGATAAATTTCTTAAGAGCGTTTTCGTTATTAGACTAACAATTTGTAGAATTAGTTTTATAATCAACAGCACTTACATGCTGTGGAAATTATGATTTTATGGTTTTATTTGTGGCATGTTTTGTTTTTGCATGCATTTATGTTACTTTTTTATAATACATATTTTGTCTACTTTTTTTGTAATTTCTAATACATTGTAACATTTACATTGTAATACTTCTCTGCATGATGTGATAATAAAGCTTTTCCAAATTTTCTTTGTCTGATATACATGTAATAGTTGATTTGTTTGACTTTTTTCGTCTCAGTTCTTTTATTTTGAATAACATTGTGTATCATTAAGGCTAGCTTTCTATTGATGTGTCTATTTATTCCTTTGCTTTAATAATCTGCATTTATTATAACTATGTAACTGATGAATTTATGCGTAAATAAACGTGTGTTATGCCATTTGATTGACGATGTGTCGGGAGTTATTTATTGTCAAGTTTTTACATGTTTGCAGTTTCTGAAGGAAGTTTCAAAAAATTCTCAGACGAGTTTGGTTTGAAGTTGCCAGCTGATAAAACTGTTGACATATCTGTTGAATGCAATCGAGGTTTCCTAAAACTTGCCAGGCACTGCAGCTTGCAAGCCAAAAGAAAATTGTGAAGAGACAAATATAAAGTTATGTTGATAAAATATTCACTACAGTTTGCAGTTTTGAAGTTGAGGCTTTCATTTGCAAGGAACTTTATTAATGAGATGTTGGATTTTATTATGTTGTATAATTTATTTCTTCCGTTTTGTTATTTGATACCAGAGTCCCCGGAGTGTTTTACCGACTCGCGGGGCGCTGACTACCGCGGTTTCGTATCCACGACCGTCTCCGGCAAGACCTGTCAGAAATGGACTGTCCAGACCCCCCACACGCACCGCCACACCCCGGACCGCTTCCCCGACGATGGACTAGGGGACCACAACTACTGCCGCACCGTGTCAGAGGTCAACGCGGAGAGACCGTGGTGTTATACAGTGTCTGCAGCAAGGAGAGAATACTGCGATGTGGGGCTGCCACAAGTAAGCTGTAATAGACAAGGTAAGACACATTCGGCATCCAGAATTTTTTTGAACCGATTGTTTAGCTTGCTGAGTATAATAACCTTAATACCTAATGACGTCATGTTTTGTTTAAGGCATACATTTGCTTTGATTATTGACAGTCCCAATATCCAATTGTGACAGACATAAATCATCATGTGATCCTTAAATTTTCTTTACAGCCGTCGCTGAGCAGAGGACCAACCCCATGGAGCATTTTGCGCTCTTCCAGAACGCCGCCATCCCCGGAGCCAACATGGAGGAGCATCACGGAGTCACTGCCGAGCAGTGCGCGGAGCTCTGTCTCGCAACAACCAGCTTCTCGTGCCGATCGTTTGATCATTACAGAGACGACAATCGCTGTTGGTTGTCGGACAAGTCTTCGCATTCCTCAGATCTCAAATTTGATTTCAACAACAACCCTTTTGACTACTACGAGAGGATTGACATTGGTACGTTTTGGGTTTTTTTTAGAACTTAAATCTTATAAATCTTTCCTACATATTTATTTGAAGATTCAAAATTTGAAATGCAAGTCATGAGTCAAAAGGTGAAAATTCCTTTTTTCCCCCAAACAAATTGCATAAATTTGGTGCTTTACTTTTTAGAACATTATAACATTCAAAAGTTGTATGATACTTTATGATACCCCGCTATAAGTGCTGTTCCCCACCACTTTTGAAACCATTTCCCTGCCAACTCTTTGACCTTTTGACTTAATTCCACATTACTTATCCCCCCTTTTTTTTATTTCAGGCACACTTTCGCAATTTGAGATCATCCCCAATGCAGCCATCGCCGGGCACAATGAGGAGGAGCATCAGGGCGTATCCATGCAGCGTTGCGCTCAATTGTGCGTCCTCGCGACGTTTGGCTGTGCATCCTTCGACTACGCGCGGCGAACGTCTCAGTGCTGGCTGAGCCGAGCCACCACGGAAACGGCCAATCTCAGGACTGATATCGAGGCTCAACCGTTTGACTACTTCCAGCGAAACGGAGGAGGTGAGGATGTGATGACAGTCTTAATATATCGATAATCGATTTATATCGATAATAGATATTTAATCGATATGACAATGGCACACTGTAGTTTGTAGAGGGTTACCTATATCCTATTTTTCCTTCAATTGTTTCATCATATGTCTTAGCGAAGTTTTTTAAAAAGTCAATATTTGCATAACCCTCAAAGTTATCCCCAACCCTCCCAAAAAGAACATGAAATACGAAAAATATTTTGAATTTTTGTAGAAATACAAGAGAGGTCAATTTTGCCCATTTCTGTATACATCTATAACTCTACATTGATATTCAGTACGCTTCCTATTCTTTCGTCCGGGTCCCCTTACTATTCTTGTACATAATTTTTCTGTATATTCCAAAACCATATTTGCAACTAGACTTAATAAACAACGCATGCAAACTATACAATCGCTGTTCCACTAAATTAAAGCGTTCTTCACAATGTGACGTTCCTTTTTCTTTTTGGTCTTCAGCCATGCCCGACTGTTACCGCGGCAATGGTCACAGTTACCGAGGTTCATACAGTGCAACCGAGACCGGCAAAGACTGCGTCCCTTGGACCTTTGCAGCAGCGCGAGGGGCTGGAGTCAACAACGCTCAGTACCCCAACACAGGTACGGAGAGTTTCACTGTCGGCGTTGTAGTTGAGACGATCGGAAATCACAATTTTAAGTTTAAACAAGTTTTGCAATAACAATTACAAAGGTTTGCCTTTGTCAGTTGATTTGAATAGCTTTGTGACTTGACTTGGAACTGGAGCACTTCTGTGATGAAATTTTTGACCGTTCTATAATTCCCCAGGTGTCGGTAATCACAACCACTGCCGTAATCCTGACAATGACCAGCAGCCGTGGTGTTACTTCGCTGATGCCAGCGGTCAGTTGGAAGGTTGGACGTATTGCGGTCTGCCTGCTTGCCAACTCACTGGCCCCGCTGAGTCAGAGACACCCACCACAACACAGGCTCCGGGAGGACTACGTAAGTACACGTACATTTGAAGTCAGGTTTTGGGTCCATAGGGGGACGTTGAAGTTGGTCAAATCTTTAGCAATAGCCTGGAATCATGGAGCTTGTGTTCTTGAGCAAGCTACCTTACCTCAGTTCGTTCTTTCTACCCAGAAGTAACTTAGCATATCTTTGTTTCTTGTTTCAGGGCTCTTGTCTCAGGGTAAAGAGACAGTCCAGAGCTCCACCCTGACGTTGACCGGCGTGGCTAGGGAAGCAAGTCTGGCCGTCGACGGGAACGCTTCTCCACATTTTGATGACAACAGCTGCACACTGACAGGTAGGCTGCTAGCCTGATGTCTGTTGCTGTAGAAATTTGGAATGGAAATGAGAAATCAGTATAGTCCAATCTCGGCAACGTGATCAGTGTACATTTACGAGGCCCCCTTCAATGGAGAAACCATTGTGCAAGCCATTGTTCAAAGCAACCGCCCCGTGTTGAATTATTTGAACAATAGCTAGTACAATGCTTTCGCCATTGAAGGGGGCCTGCATGATAGAATTAATAGCGTTCCTGGATTGATTCAAACTTTCTAAGGTGTCCAAAACAGAGAGTCGTCAAATCTGGGGAATAAATTGATTGTATCTTATCAGTTTGCAAGTTGAAGTTAGTTTCCAAAATAATACAGGTCAGCAATAGCTTTGTTTATTGATGTTTTATTTACTGTCTCCTGGTTTAAAGGCAAAATTGTGGTGCACAGAAATAAGATCGTACAAAGAAGGAGAATTGTTAAATGTTTTGATTTTTTTGTTCCTTTGCAGATTCAGAGAGACATCCATGGTGGTATGTTGACCTGGGCAGAGAGTATGAAATTGACCACATTGTCATCGTGAATCGTTATGACAACGGTAAGTCCCAACCTTGACATAAAATTTCAAACTCCGTGATGAAAACAAAATGCGTTTTTCTTGAAAAAAAATTCACAGAACTGATCGAAACGATTTCAGGAAATACTTTGGAATTATTCAAGCTACATTTTGAAAATCACCAATTTCCAATTTTTTGGATCTTGGATCTAGGTAATCGGTTGAAGCGCGCCACTGTCAGAGTCGGCGACGCCATCCTGAACGTGGACTCGTTTTTGGAATGCGGCCAAGTGACGGGCGCCATGATCAAAAACGCGGCGAAGAGAGAACACCGACAGATAACCATCCAGTGCTCAGCTGAGACGGTCGGTCGATACGTCTACATCGAGCAGACGCGCAACCAGGCCTTACACTTGACCTTGTGCGAGGTCGAAGTTTACGGTCAAGACGTCACAGCAACGGGTAAGCAAACAGCATTTCTGAATTTTGTTTCTCAAAATCTATATCAAAATATTATAAAGATGTTGATTATTGGGCAAATATAAGTTGAGTTCCCATTTTAGGAAACTTGTCTTAGATTATTTTCATCGAATGTGTTGAAAATAGTTGAGGGATCTTTTTTCTTTTGACAGGCCCACCACCGTCAATCTCCTGCAGTTCAGAACAGTTTGCGTGTGTCACTGGAGGGTATGTTCTCTTGCTTCTTCTAATAATACTTCTAATAATAATAAAAATAATAATAATAAATAACGTGGTTCTTATACAGCGCTTTGTACCAAAGGTTTCAAAGCGCCTCACAATTACTACCCCTGTTCATCAGGCCATTGGACATGGTTTCTGCATCAGTTTGAGATCAGCGTAGTCTAGTCTTTACTTGCACAGGTACCCTGTTATCCTCCTTGGTGGATAATGGCAATTGTGGTAAAGTGTCTTGCCCAAGAACAACAATATCATATCCAAAACGCCTGCTCATCAGGAAAAGGAGGACACTGTACAGTGATCTTACAATTACATTTGTCCAGTGTTTTTGTTTTTCTGCAACATTCTGGTTTGAGCGTTTCAATAAAAATAGTGTAATGTGCTAAGAACACATTTTTGCTTTATAAACAAATGATTTTGACATCCACTTGAGTTGTTCCATATGACTGAGTTTTATATTACCATCATTTTCTTCCACCATCAGAATACACTGTATCCCAAATAGCTGGGTTTGCGATCAAGATCCCGACTGTGAAGACGGAACCGACGAGCAGGGATGCAGTAAGTTCAGGCGACAATTTCACGCAGCAGCAAAGCACGGGAATTTGCTTAGCACAACAAACATCTGCTTAATACAAAGAAACATTACCAGCCAAAATGTCATGCAGTGTGTATTGCTCGTGATTGGTACTCGGCTGATTGATGCTATGCACTTAAATTTGCTCAGTGATATTTCAGGTTCATTTTTTTCTTCAGTTTGTGCAGTAAAGGCAAAAGGAAAAAAAAAAACGGGACAAAAAGTGAGAAAAACCTATATGCAGCATCCTATTGGCTTCTTAAGACTTCTGAAGTTTCCAAACGGAATGCCTTAAAAGTTTCCGATAAATTAAAAACAGCTTGACCATGGCAAGTCTTTAATACATTCATTTTCCAATTCTTTTTTTTTTTTTCGTGTAGATGATCCCTTAGCTGACTTCAACCCTCTGGCAGACTCAGCTATTCCGTCTTCCATCAACCCCGACGTCACCTATATGGATAAAACCCTTGCCGAGTGCGCACAGTTCTGCGTCACCAACATGGATATCGTCTGTCGGTCCTTCGAATACGAGGCCGCCACGCGAGACTGCTCGCTGTTTGACGAGAACCGAGCGCAGACGGGTGGACTTGAGGCCCGGCCGGGGGTGACGCACTATGAGAGGCTGTCTCAGACAAGTAGGTGGCTGTTTATGTGATTTAATATTTGCATGCTGGATTTGTACATATGCATCCCTTTGTTATTATGTTGTGACAGATGTGTGATTTTACTTGTGATTTACTTGTGATAGTCTTGTGATGGATTTTGGGGAGTCAGATTGGCATAGCGGTACTTTCCTCGCCTTCCACCGCTGTCACCCGGGTTCAATACCTGCCTGGGCCAATATGTGGATTGGGTTTTCAGTCCCTCCTTGATTCCGTTGGTTTTCCCCAGGATATTCTTGTGGGGTTTTCTCCAGGATATTCTTCTGGGGTTTCCCCACATCTAAAACTCTAATTTCTTCACATTGTCTAACTTTTACTGGGCCCTATGGGAAACCAGTTGATTCCACTGAATGGGCTACCTATTTTAAAAAAAAAATATATATATATAGTGATGGACTAAAAACACTAGTAGAGAGTAGGTAGTGATGTAGGCGGGACATTTTATGACATCTCACACAAATGCTCATATAGTGAAACATCAGATCTGATTTGAGTCATGCTCGAATGAGCAAATTTAATTTTATGTTCTGAATTTCGTCATACAAAACAGGTTGTTTTAATGTTTGAGTATGGTTTTCAAATATCAATTGTTTGGGAAAGTGAATTTCCAAAGGGTCTCAGTAAAGATCTTGAGAAGTTCTCGGGGTAAGATGTTGGCTCTGAAAAACACATGTTGTTATTAACTAACAACAATTACTTGTGGATCCAAGTATCAATATTCCTTCATGTAATGATGAATCCTCTACGCTTGTTAATTCATCTTATTGAGAAAAAAAACGACAAGTCTCGAAAGCTCTCAAGAGGACTGGTCAGGACTGAAACAGTGTGAGGACTATTAAGTTACTCTCACATAGACTGTCAGCTTGAAAAAAATTAAAGTCTGTCACGGGCCAATGTGGCCCATCTGGCCGGCGTTTATCTCTGGTTTCAGTAGCATGAAACGACTGAGAATATTTCTACTGCCCCTGGATGGGATGTTAGTCCATCACAAGTTACTCCCCAGCTAATGCCAGTACCCATTTAAACTCGTGGGTGGAGAGAGGCAAGTGGGGTGAATTCAAGTGGCTTGCCCAAGGACACAACATATGGCCAGCAGCTGGATTTGAACCCCGACCCTCTGATCATGAGCCATGAACCCTCACCACTAAGCCACACTCCCCACAGATGTCAATTTATCTTCGGCAATTTGTACTTGGCAGCTGACTGTAGCAATGTGGATGGAGAGCTGTACCATCCGTGCCCTAGTGGCCGCTGTGTACCAACACGCTGGCTGTGTGATGGCGACAACGATTGTGGGGATTTCTCTGACGAACGACAATGCAGCGTAGAAGGACCAACACAAGGTATACACCCCCCCCTCCCCTTTCTTCCCCCTCCAATAGTTCCCATCCCTGCCAGCCGTTATAGACAAATTCATCCCATAATGTTGCAAAATGAAATAAGGTACATACCCCATCCTCCCCCCCCCCCCAAAAAAAAAAAAAAAAAAATTGGTACTGGGTTGTTACAGGGACTCAACTGTTAAATTACTATTTCTCTAACAATACAAACTAAAGTTGTTCACTTTTGAACAAAAACATCTGCCCATTTTTAGTTATGGAAAAAAAATTACTTGAAAAGAATTTGACCCAACAACAATGCATTTTTTGGAGGGGCAGCTGGTTTCCTTCCCCTATTAGAATTAATAATGTAGGTGCTGGGAGCCAGTCTATTTGCAGGGTCGCAGATCCCCAAAAAAGAAAAAAAAAATTTGTTAAAGAATTTTTAGAATTTTAGATGCTACCTTGTTATGAAAACTGCATGTAAATAATTAATTTAAATGCAGTAAAATATCCAATCTTACATTGAAATGCGTTGGTCTAATTCTTCTTACCATCAGAACCCAGCTCAGAGTTTGCCATTCGCATCGTCAATGACCAGCTGGGTCAGACTTCAACCAATGAGTACCAGGGGCGTGTGGAGGTCCAGTACATGGGCGTCTGGGGTACCGTCTGCGATGATAACTGGGACATCCAAGACGCGACCGTGGTCTGTAAACAGCTGGGATTCACACGGTGAGGAAATGAGACAAAGGGAATTTCTGAAAACAAAGAGACTTAATGTTTATTTCACACAAAATTTGTTGTGAGTCATTTTTTTGTATGGGCGATCAAAGAATGAACAAATCAACTGCAGAAAAATTTCCCAGGAAGAATTTCTACTCCCATTTGAGTGACAATTTTTTTGGTGACTCAATTTTTTTTGCAGTGGTGCAGTCAGCGCAGTGATTGTCGGCGAATTCGGCCAGGGTAACGGCAACATCATCATGGATGACGTGGAGTGCGCCGGAACAGAAATGTCCCTCGCCGATTGTCCGTTTTCAGGCTGGGGAGTTCATAATTGTGTGGCCAGAGAAGCCGCTGGTGTTATCTGTATTCCCAATGAAGGTAAGTTGAAAAGCTCTTATAAGGTTCACAAATAAAAAGATATAGGAAAATGCTACTGGTTCCAAAAAAATTACAATGAAAGGAAAATGCTTCAGCTGGTTCTTAAAAATTATAATGGTATATGAATTTTAGTATTTTTGTGTCGCAATAATTTATTCAAACTTGGGACAGACTAAAAATCTGTCCATCCCTCCCCGACCCCCACCCCCTAAAAAATTGATAAAAAATTCTGGATATTTTTTCGCAAATTCTGCCATTGAATATTCATGATATTGCGCTTCATTCCTCCCTTAATATTTTTTTCAATATTTATTTTGTTTAGGTTGCTTGGATTCTCAGTTTGAATGTGGGAATGGCGACTGTATTCCGCTCAACTGGAAATGTGACGGAACCGACGACTGTGGTGATAACAGCGATGAGCAGCAATGCCAAAGTGGTAGGATCCCAATTTCTTCATTTTTATCAGCAGTGTACGATGAAATGAAAAACTGAATCCAGCCCTAGGTTTTCATTGGCAGGCTGCCAAGTTGGCATAAAGCCAAGAAGCCTGACTTACTTACCTTGATATAAATAGACAACTCCACCTGGTGTTTTAACTCACAGTGGGTTTTCCTTACCAAATATGGTAGTCTTTAGGCATGCAGTTGTGGAGATTTGCATATGCAAATACAGGGGAAACTTTTAACCAATCAAATTCTACACACACAGTTCTGACTTTAGGCATATTTTCAACCAATATATTGTTACCAATTCATTTTTGCGAATCTTATGAGATCTTGAAGGAAGACTCTGGCATGCATGCCTGCCCAAAAAGCTTGTCAATTGTCTCAAAATACCAAATTTTGAAGTGAAATGAACTTGTTGAAATATGGTCATTTTGTTGGTTGCTTAAACAGCGGATCTTCCAGTTCGTCTTGTGGGTGGACCTGACGCAAACTCTGGCCGCATTGAGGTCATGTTTGCCGGTCAGTGGGGGACCGTCTGCGATGACCGCTTTGATGACAACGCCGCTCAGGTCGTGTGCCGGCAGCTCGGAATAACGTAAGTAGAAAACTTAGATGATATTCACAAATTTGAGATACCCTTGAAATCTACACATTGTCACCGTGTAAAAATCAACACACTATATTTGGGGGAGTGTACGTGGCCTAGGGTTTGTGATTCACGATCAGAGGTTCGAATTTCGCCACTGGCAATATGATGTGTCCTTTAGCAAGCCAGTTTACCCTCACTGAAAAATACATTTGGTAAAAAAGCTGTCGAGTCAGTTTCTGACTTTCTTCCTATGTCCCAAAACTCCCTTTCAGGAATTGTATATGTGAAAATTTGTTGTGCACATTTTTTGATTGTATCTTTACCATCAAGTGTTGTGATTTATTCCCTTCCCCCCAGTGGCAACTCTCGCGTCTTTGAGAAGGCCCATTTCGGTCAGGGTCAGGGTCAGATCTGGCTGGACGAGGTACAGTGTCAAGGTGGTGAGAATCACCTTGGTGAGTGCGGTCATTCCAGATTCGGCTCCAACGACTGCTCCCATGGTGAGGACGTTGGCGTGGAGTGTGGCATCGTTCCTGTGCCTGAGGTTACAATGGGTAAGAAATCCAACTTGATCTTCGCTTTAACTTTGTGAGTGCTGTATTCGAGAGATTTATAAGGAATAATATTCCATTCCATATTAGGCCTAATGGTAAAAGGTTAGTTTTAAGTGTAAAACAGAGTGTGAACGTTTTGCTGCATCTGTGTACCAAATTAAACTCGGATTGAAATTCTTATCAACTTTTTGCAGCTCCAGGAAGTTGCGGTGTTAAGCAAGTCGACAACGGCATCAACGCTCGCATCATCGGTGGCACGGCAGCTAAGAAGGGTAGCTGGCCGTGGCAAGCCCAGCTCCTACTCAGACAGAGCGGCCATTACTGTGGGGCCACGCTCATTGACGAGTTCCATGTTCTGACTGCCGCTCACTGCTTCCAGAGGTATGTAGGCATTGTGGTCATTAACGGAAAATGTAGAATACAGGACATTTTTGTGAGGGCCACAAAAAGCATGGGTTGCCTGCAATGACAACAACTCTGAGGACCTGAGCCCAGTCCTCAGAAGGTTTTGTGTTTTCGTGACAAACCTTATGGGACATGTCGGGATAAAGTCCTAAAAAATAGGATCAAAAGAAGGGAACAATAAGGTTCCTCATTAGCATAATGTCCTCAGTGTATACTGTCCTCTCTCAGCCAAAGTCCTCAGAAGATTTTTCTATACAAACCATATGGGACATCTTGTGAGCCCAGTCCTCGGAAGGTTTTCGTGAACAAACATTATGGGACATGTCAAGATAAAGTTTAAGTCCAAACAATTGGAACAAAAGAAGGGAACAATTAGAGTCCTCAGTAGTATAATGTCCTCAGTGTACACTGTCCTCTCTCAACAGTAATGTGTTGCATTTTGACTAAGTAGTTTATGGAAAACTTTGCCAACATTTTATTATTTTCAAACTCATATATATTAATTGCCATCTGACACTCCTGCAGATATGGAAAAGACCGTTTCAAGGTCCGTCTGGGAGAACACGACCAGTATCGCTCCGAGAATTCAGAGCAGGACTTTGACATTGAGTGTCTCCACCTCCACGAGGACTACAGCAGCTCCACGACCAATAACGACATCGCCCTGATCAAACTCAAGCCCAAGAACGGCCGGGGAGCCCAGATGAATACCCACGTCTCGCCGGCCTGCTTGACGGGCCGGGACGATCTCCCCGATAATCACCAGTGCTGGATCTCCGGCTGGGGAAATACAGGTAAATTCAGGGACGTGATTCCAGTGTTTATAGGAAATCTTCGGTCATTTTAGTTATCCCACAAGTGTGCACAGTTGTACTTAACCACTATGTCAGAGGACAAGGCATTGTGTTTCCCTTTGTTCCTATAATATAACACTCTCCCATAGACTAAGCACATACACTTATGAGCCAGGACCGTTCTGAACAAAAGATGTACGTTCGAGGACAATAAAGAATCTGTTGTTCTCCCTTCTTGTGTCTGTCCTCGGGATGTATGTGAATACAAGAGCATGTGTGTAAGGTGCAAAGTACGTACAACCAATTTATTCTGAATGTTGCCAACTTGTAGCATCTTCAAGTTCACGTGAGTGTCTGGCCCGGTTGGAAATGCGTTCTGATGTCCCTCCTGCGGTGTCGCCCAACTCTGCCTTTGTAACTGCTGAGGGTTGAGAGGGAACTTGTGCACAAAGTCAATTGCAGTGCCACTTTCTTTGTAACATATCTTCCCTTTTTTTTAATCAACCAGGGAATGACTATCCCCGCCTCCTACAAGAAGCCCGGGTACCCCTCCTCCCCCGATCCACCTGCACCGGCCGACGCGTCTACGGATCCAAGCTGACCAGCCGCATGCTGTGCGCCGGCTACCTGGGCGGTGGCATCGATTCCTGCGACGGAGACAGCGGGGGACCATTGGTCTGCGAGTACCAGGGAACGTGGCAGATCATCGGCGTGACCTCGTGGGGGTCCGGCTGCGCCCAGCCCAATGCCCCCGGGGTCTACTCTAGGGTCAACCAGTTCCTGGACTGGATCAATACCAAGAGACAGACTGCTCAGTGTTAATGAGATATTTACTGGAAATTCAGTACGATAACCCGATGTTAGTTATGGATAAACGGCGAAATTAGACGGTACTTCCAGTGGTTTCATAATGGTACTCTAGTTAAAGGCATGGTTAAACTAGAAATTATAATAAAATCATCATGTTTATCTTGTACTAGGCATAAACTTGTTCCCATTCGATACTGTCTTAAGTGAACACATCTGGTCCACTTTATGCACCAGAGTTTTATTATTGTGTGCTGTTCAATGTCGTTGTAAAAAAAAGATATTTATATTTGCAGAAATTTGTACCGTATCATAAACAAGTTAAATGTTTCATTTATCCATAGACCTCAGCACGGATTTTGATCTTGCCCTTTTTATTGTAGATGCATGCTTGTGTAATGAAGTGAACATATTTTTTGCAGGAATTTTTACTTTGTGAATCATGTACCTTCCAGTTATGAGATATTTTGTTTGATTGTTAAAAGAACGCAGAAAAGTACAAATACAAATTTCCTGAGATTAAGTCAAATGCATGTTGTCATGTGCTAGGAACCTTTCAAGTAATATCCAGTTAAGCTGTTATTCACATGTTGCCCAATGAAGACATGGTGTTGATTTAGTTTTGGTATAAAACTGGTCAAGATTGGGCCACTGATTTATACAGTTTCATTTTTTACTTTTAAATGGGCTGGTCCTAAGAAATTACTGATATAAGAAAAAGGTAAAGGGGACGAACCTGTGTTCACAGGAACGGAGTGCCCATCTCTCTTTCGAAGCGATTGGGCCAGACTCGAGTCCATGAAATGCTGCTGTGGGGGGATTGCCACACCTCCTCCACAGCGAGTCTGTTACCTTCCCAGCATTGCAGGTACCCATTTAACACCTGGGTTGAAAGGAGTAATTGAGGTAAAGCGCCTTACTCAAGGGCACAACACGCATGGCAACGGTGGGGCTCGAACCCACAATCTCATGATCATGAATCCTGTGCTCCACCGCTAGACCACACATTTCTCTTTTACTTTGTTGATTGGTACCAAGAGCCTGCACTTGTCTAAGCACCCACAATGAAAACTTTAATGGCCTAAGTGTCTGTAGATAAGAAGTGTGATATTTTAATAGTCATGGTCCACAGATGTTTACAACATGTGTACTTTGTAATAAAGTGTGGAGAAAGCAATACGAGTCTGTGTCTGACTTTACACTGTATTGTCTAATTTCAAACATATGTATCTAGCAAATTGTCTGTGTATGGGCTCCGTGCGCCAACTAAAGAGGGCGCCCTTTTACCTAGCAACGACGTCCCATGGGCGGGACACATACACTTCGCTGGTTGACGCGCGCGCACCGTTCCTTGTGTGTGACGCACGTACACCAGGGGATTTGTACTATGCAGGCAAGATGGCGTCATTCGGTCACCCCCAACTGTATTTCCTTTGCCGGTGAGGGGGTACTTGTGAACGGAGCGGATAGTGGCAGCGGCGCCTATTTTAGGCAAAATATAATTTTATCAAAGCCAGTGATAGATTAGAAAAAGTGGATTTGTCTAGCTCGAAGTCTGTCAGATGTTAGGGTGGTGAAGTAGGGGTGGGTGGGTGGGAGTTGGGTGGGGTGGCGTGGAGTGGGAGTTGGGTGGGGTCGGTTCACCCTTGAAATTTGAGAGTCGGATGCTGAAGGGTAATTATATCAATGTGAAGTGCATCTGGCAGAAAAACGACCCCTCCTCTACCGAAAAAAAGAAAAGAAAAGAATATGGTTGATACAACAAACAAAGACCTTTTTTTTGTTTTTTTTCAAGTTTCTTTCGTTTATTTTTTTTTTGCCTTAAATGGAGTGCATCCATTTCTACAATCACATGACTAAATTGACATAGATCAAGAATAGATGTTTAAAAACACTAAAATGTAGAAGAAAATAACGATAAAAAATATCAAATTATGTAATTATATCCATCGTTCATGGTGGGGGTGGGGATCTGCAAAAACAAATATAATCAAAATATTTGATGGACAGCTTTTGTCAGATGTCAAAATCAACTTCGCTGCTTCTGGGACGACTGAATTAATTTTTCTTTGGAAACGAAAGGGGCGATAAACAAATACATTTTAATTTTTTTTTTCGTAAATACTATGTACACTAAAAAATATCAAAACCTGAGAACTGTAAAGTAAACAACTGAAAGTAAACAAACTTTTCAAGTAAACAGAGTTTCCTGGGTCCGTTTCTTCGATCAATTGCCCTACAAACCCTCAGCAACTCCTAAATAGATAAGTTACTGAATATGGAACCCCCTCCCCCCCAAAAAAAAAGTTTCACAGTTTTGTTAAAGACCAAAACTCCAAATGTACAATACATAAAATCCCCTTTATACAAATTAGCAGAATTTTTTCCAATTCAACTTGCAAATTCATTACAAGGTATTTTTTTATTGAAAGGTTTTCGCGTTCTGGTTTTTTCTCTCCAATTTTGTCCACCGATTGATTGTGGAAAAATAATTCCCACAACAAATACAGTATTACAGAATTTGACATAAATTGTAGTTTCAATACCTTTATTTGGGATGGTAATGAAACAATTACCGTGGGAACACAACTGAATCAAATTCTTCGGAGGATTATAAAATTATATTTTTAAGTCACTAAGATTGAGAAACACAAAGAATTAAAAAAAATCTACTGCATATTCATTACTTGAAAATTAACCAAATACCTGATTGTATAGATTTATGGTAATTTGTAATCTGCATATATCTAATTTCTAGAGAATCACTAATTGCTTGCTAAAAAAAGTGATCTACAAAGACAGTAAAAAGGCAACGCCCACTTTATGCATATTCATGTTTGCAAAGATTTGGATTTGCTAGAATATTTGCCATCAATACGCATATTTGCATACATGTAATTTGCATTTTTTTTTGGTATATACTACTCAACTCTTCCAACTAATCTATTATTCATGAGCTACTGCTGACATAGAAATGGAAGCTCCACCCACAACATAGCAACAGCCAATTAAATCTGAGGAAGAAAGATGACACTTAAGCAATAAGAATATGATTCGACAGTCATGTAAATAATACGTAAATATTCATAAGACAAAACAGTCTAAGATCATTGCACATAAAACACTGTAAAACACCAACATGGAGTAAAAAGCCTTTTTTTCTGTACTTTTAACGTTAACCTGTTGTAAATTTTCACAGTTGTAAAAACAAATAACTTTAATATTCAGTAATGCTTACTAACTATATAATTTCTAAATTCACGTTTTAGGAAGAGGCCTTTCCCCCCCCCCCCCCAGAAATTAACCGACATTTTTACAATCACACGGCCATTTTTTGTCTGGGTCCCTATGGTCATTACATTATTATTTTAGTTAGAGAAAGCAGGGGAACCAGCTGTTTTTAGACCTACATAAATGGTATTGAATATTGACAGATACATAGGCACACACTGTATACCGGTGTACAAACGATACATTTGTCTCTTCAACAATGCTGGGTACACCTGTTGAATAATACTCAAGTCTCACACACATGTGGTTTTTTAAACGCCTTTATAAGTGATTTTTTTTTAATTGTTGGGGGAATTACCAGTAACCAGGTTAAACCACAGGAAACTAGGAAACCTAGCAACCAGGTGATGACTGCTTACCATGAATGACAAAATATCAACACAATTACAACAGTTTTAAATAAAACGACTGCACGGTCTAAAACTTTACAATTGTGTTTGTGTTTACTGACACATCTACAATGATATCTACAAGCTCCTCGTGCGTCATAACCACGGAAACTCAACCTTATCTGAAGCTTACCAGTTTGCAAAGTGTTCACAAACGTAGGTACATTGTACCTGTACTTCCCCGCTCAATGTCACACCAATTTCAAGAACAGCCAATAAAATTCGATTTGAAGTATATCTGAATTGAATTTGAGTGGCTGTTCTCGTCATGCGCAGACCTTTGTGAAGCCTTTATACAGCATTTCACTGTGTCATTGTGGAGTAGTCGCACCAGACTCGATCTGTTATTCCACTCAGAGCCGTTATTTGTTCTGAATGAAATTTTATGCATGTGGCCACATTTTAATCAGAGGTCTGGTACCCCTTTCAGACTGCACAAAGCGACTGTGGAATCGTCCAAGTGCACCCTTCTAAGATTCCTAGTCTGTCTTACAAGTCTTTCTACTCTGAATAGTTCTACTCTACACAGTCTTCCTGTGGATGCTAAACTAGTTTTTTTTATACAAATGCTCACTTTTTGACATGAGGACAGTTTGCACACGTTAGGTATCATACACGACATTAAGTACATCACTATTTACAGCCTCGAAAACACAAATAAAAAATAACAATAAAGCGTTCTTCGTATCAAAATGGGGGAAACAAGTCAAGGATGAAATTGGGTAATGGATAATACAATCTGAAATTATAAATGTGAGTGATTTCTACCAGGAAATGCCAAAAACAGCAAGTCACATTTTTGGATATTTGATTATAATAAAGTGATATGTATATAAATAACCCATGTCTATTTTTTTTGTTAATACACCATTTTATGATAATGCGTATTTTAAATATTAAAGTCAAGACGTTTTGTCCTTTGTGTGGATCTAAACACTTATTCATTTTTTTATGAATTTGATACTTCCTTGGAAATGATATATGGTTGGTCAATGGCTGCTTGAAGTGTGTTCAAAGACATTTCCGGGCGACAGCGTACTAGCCAGCCGCGTCCAGAGCTCGCGCTTGCATGGCCTCAACCGGCGCAGCGACTGCAAGAAGTCGTTGAACTGCGCCATGCCGCCCGGCGCCATGACGAACGCCTTCTGCGCGCTCTGCACCACGTTGATGAAGTCATCGTACTCGGGCTGGGTCACGTGGTACATGCGCTGGTGGATGCACTGGATGTACATCTGGACGCATTTCTGGACGATGGGGCTGAGGATCGGGGAGCGCAGGTTGGCCTGGATGGGGGTGTGGTTGTTGGAGGCCAAATAGTGGGCGGCTTCCCAAGCTATGGTGTGTAAGACGAACGGACTGACCACCACGTTCAGAACGCAAGCACAGAACTGCTGTAGATAGCTGGAACCTGCACAAAAAGATAAAGGGAAACAATAATCAAATGACCAAAGTTACAGAAGTTAACTCATCTAGGAGTTTAAGAACTTTTTTAGAATTTTAAGGCTTACAAGCTTTGTTTTGGTGCTTCAAACTGATCCAAGGTGTAGTTCTTGGCAAAAAGAAGGATGTAGTGGACGATTAAAAGTCAGGAAAACTACTATTACTGTGAATTTTCTGCTTTCTGGGTTCGGGAATATTGGTTAAAATTGAGTAAATCTGGAAAGAGTTGAGCAGGTCTTTCTGGTATAAGGGATTTGTGATTGGGAATTGTCTTTATTTACCAAGCCTTTTGGATATCTCCAAGAGCCACTTGATGTCTTCTCCGTAAGGTGGATTGGGAGAGAATCTCGCCTGCGTCCTCTCATCGTGCACCCTCCTCGCCAGGGTATCAATAGCCAGCATTCCTACCCTATACGCTGCATCCAAATAGAACAGTCCTGTGTGTTGATGTGGGCCCATGGGCCCGACCACTTGCTGGAGAGGTAGGTTTTGCTGTGGAGGGGTCTGCTGTGCCGTGGACGGCCTGGGATGCATGACCGGTAGCGGGTAACCGACGTGGGCACCGCGGAGGGGAACTCCCTGTTGGGCTGCAGGGGGTGCTCCTGCCTGGGTGGGGAACTGATTTGGAATGGGTAACGGCACCCCCTGGGGGACGGGGTTGGGGGAGGAGTAGGGACAGGTGGAATAGTACGGTGGACATTGGTGGACACCGTTCCAATGCACGTTGTGGGCATTAGGCTGTAACTGTCTGTGGTCTGGAGTCCCGTGTCGACCGTGTTGTAACGCAGGGTAGCTTTGGAATGTTCCTGGTAACCTCGGGAGATACGATGGATCAACTTGGACGTACTCCGGACAGCCCGGGTGGTACACAAGCGGTACCTGTACGGCCTGGGCTGGTACCCGGGCTACTCCATACGGTAACAGCAACGGGCTGACCATTGCCGCGTTGGGAGCCACGCTCACGGCGACTGAATACGGTACGATCTGACCACTCTCGGTCGTCGGCGAGCCGTTGTGACCCGCCACCTGGTGGGCATCGGCACCCTCGCTTGGCCGGGCTCGACGATTGTTAGTTGCACCCCACATGTTGTCGTGAAGCCACTCCCACTGGCGGGCAACATTGAAGAGTACATCTGGGTACACGTCACCGCCCTTCGCTGCACTCTCCACTGCTAAACAAGCATTGGCCAGCATCTGGTAGTCCTGTTCTTTGCACTGCAAAATTTTAATTGGTCAAATTTTGCTTAGAAAATTTAAGCAAAGCTTAGCAAATTTAAGCACAAAACACACGGAAACCAACCAAAACTGAATAGACATATCAACTTTTAAGCTGGTTATCCCTTTTTCATAAGCAAATATATTCTGTGTTGAGGGAATTTCTGCGCTTGACAATTTGCTGTGCTTACCAGGTTCATAAAATACTAGACTTACCTGTGTTAGAGCTCTGTTAACTTCGGTCGGGTTCAGAGCGTGGGCATGCCTCAGGCAGGACAGGGCCAGTTCGGCGGCCGTACCGACCATGTTAGGATCTAAACCTCGCGAGGCTTTATCGGCCAATGAGGCGGCCTCGGTCGGAGTCAGGTGACCTTCCCAGGTGTCCACTAGCATACCGATGGCCGCACTGCCGATCTCCATGGCTTGACCTAAGGAAGGATTCAAAGGAAGGGTTCAATGGAAGGATTTGAAGTTGAACCTCGAGGTATCTTGTAAAAAAACCTCGCAGAGCCTTAAGATGAACCTCAAGTTATCGCCTGTTTAATTGTGCATTCTCCCCACACGTACCTGTGATCCAAGATACGTGCGACGAGTAGGTCCTCGACAGCCAGTTTGGAGTGACGGCGTTGTGCAACCACAGCGCGTACAGACCAATCTCAAACGCGCACAGGTGTAATCCACGATGCGGTCCCGAGTGGTTGGCGTTAGCGGCCGGCTGTGTGAAGAGAGACGTGCTGCTAGACCCACCGGCTTTGGTCAGCACGGTTCGGGCAAGCTCGAAGAAGAAATGCGCCGAGGCTTCGCTGGGCTGGTTGGGGATGGAAGGGGAAGCGTCGCTGCGACCGCCTTTCTTGCCTCCTTTCCTGTTGGTGACAATGCAATGACAATGACAATGGCATTTAGAATGACATTTACGCAAAGCAGGAAATTTGAAGTATACAAGAAAAGTAAACACACACATGTATGAAGTTACGGTTTGGGACTCTGATCAAAGGGTCAGTGACTCAATTCCAACTGCTGGCCTAATTTTGTGTCCTTGGGCAAGCCACTTTACCCACACTTGCCTCTCTCATATTACAGGAGTATAAAATGGGTACTGGCATTAACTAGGCAGTAGCTTGTGATGAACTTCCGTCCCATCCAGGGGGGAATTCCAGGTTTGGAGTGTGTTATTTTGGATTTTAATGTTCAGTAGTTTTTGGCTTGTTTAATTTACCTGACTACTTTGGAATTTGGCGTAGAGCTTCTAGAATCTGCTCCCTGTAAATCAGATGCTAATGATGGCCCAGGTCGTATCCACGGCGATGAAGGCATCAGGCTGTTTCAACAAAAATATTGGTTATTTCAACCAAATATATCAAGTTGATAAATAGATAAAGGAATTTTGTTTTGTGGTCTGTAAATGAATGTTGGGTGTAATGTGCATTCTTCTTCTGTTGATCCTGGGAAGAATATGCTCTTTGGGCTACAGTATGTCTCAAAGGATTGGAAACAACAGGCACTTAAGGTTGATTGCTGGTTCTAGTGACAGGATGATTGATTATGCACGCCCTGCTCGGCTCAAGGCCGTCTACCCCAAGGGAGTTATGAATAAAAGCATGCTGTTCTTGTTACTGGGGCCAGTGCTTGGCTAGGACATTCCAGGTCAAAGGTTCAACCGATTTTAAAGGGGCTTGATGAGGATCGCGTGAAATATGAAATCTTTCTACCCAGAAATATCGGCGTAATTAAAAAATAATGCAAAACGCACTGCAATATATAGAACTGTCTCTGCAGCAAGGTTCAAACCAATAACAAATATTGTCCTCACTTACAAATTAAAAAAAAAAGTGATGTTCTTTCATCAACAGCACTTACCCCTCCACGTCTCGCATCTTGGGCCTAGCACCCGACGTCCCCCTCTCGGCTGAACTGCTGGAGCTAATGGAATCACTGGAATTGCCGCTGCTGCCACTGTCGCTGCCGGGCCCGTGGTAGCGTCCCCAGCCCCCTGGGGGCACACGGCGGCCCATGGTGGGGGAGTTATCACTGGATGTGGTCTCTGGCGCGCTGCTGTCAATGGCTGCCATCCCTGGATAAGTAGGAAAATAAGAACATTGTGGTGAGTCTAAGCAAAGGCAAAAGTACTGTCATGCATGCTTCAATTGGTCTTTGCCGTTAACATAATTTGGCAATGTCCACTACATACCTTTACTCCTCTTCTGGTTCTTGCCAAAGATCCTCCCCCAACACATGTAGCTACTCCGCCCACCGCTGATCCTTGCCTGGGCCTGCCTCCATTGGTCAATGTCCGGCCCCACGGAGATCATCCCCGAACACGCCCCCGGATCCTCGTTCCAACCCGTCGCGACGACGTCGGAGGGCGCCCTTGCTGGCTGGGATGAGGATGCGGAGGACAGTACCGGCCGAGCTTGTTGCTGTGATGACGATGATGGTGATGCAGATGGCTGCTCGGGTGAGACGGACTTGCGCGCATTCAGGTGCTGGATGCAGCTGGCAATACTGGGGGTCTCGGGGCTGGGGTTTCGCGGTCGGGAGGGGCTGATGTCGGGACGAACGTTACAAGACGCGACAGCGTGCGTCAGCTGCGACACGGCAGCGTCAGCGGCTGGGGATTTATCACCGGCCTCGCCTTGGGGACTATGGTTCGGACTACGCCGCTGGTGGGAGGCATCTTGTTGCCCCTCGCCTACCAGTGCAGATGCGTTGCTGCGGTTACCGTCTTGTGAGGAACACGCCGAGGATTGTGGGAAGGGCTGTGAGGATCGCTGGGTCTTGGGTCCTTGCTTGTCCAGCAAAGCATCCAGAATCTTCAATTTAATATAGGAGCACAAATTCATTGAAATATTTATTTTCTGAAAACACATTTCTAAGGGCGATATTCAAGTATTTCTTCAAGCAAGGAACAAAACTGGAAAGGTCATTTAATTTTTCATCTGAAGTTTTCAGCAGAATATTTTTTTAAGAATGTACTGTCAAATGCAATTTCAACCATAAGATTGGAAACTCTTAAGAAACTCTCTGTTTATTGAGTGCAAGATGATATTATCAGATGTTTTGTGGTCAAGTCCACAGATTTCATGATTATAAAATCTCTTCCTCTCTACCCACCTTTCTGAGCTTATTCTGGTCGTCTTTGTAGTGAACCAAGAGAGTGGTGCTCAGCTCTCCCTTCTGCCTCCTGATCCCCTCACACAGCAGTGGATGCTCTGACTCTGACACGTTACTCTTGATGGCCAAGGCAGCCACGGCCGCGTCAAAGCCGACCTTCTCGTCTGTTGGGAGACGGTCGCGGGAGGAGACGGAACGAGTGTGGGAACGACTCAGGGAGGAGGATTGGCCTGAAAGAGGTAAATAAACGGCAACTTTTGGAAATGAACCCAAGACCAACCAAGTGCATGTTAGAGTGCTCTACCTATTCAAACATGCGACTGATGTTCTTCCAGACAGTGTATCAAAAGTAGGTGTTTCAAGGGAGCAACTGGTTAACCGAATGATCTGCTCCAAACACTGCAAACTGAAATTGCTCTGACCCAGCTAAAATCGATGCCAAATCGAACCAAACTGAACCGAACTCAGTATTGGGTCAGGTCAGTTGCAAATTTTGATCGGGTTTGCCTAAGTTTAATTGGTCTTTGTGCCCGTTACCTGGAAGGCAAAGTGCATCGAATATGAAGAGGGCCAGCAATGCTGCGCTTCTGAACACAAGGGCGCCCTCGTGCAAATCCTGCGCCAACTGACGTATCGTCGTCACCTCCGTCAGCGTGAGGGGCAAGCGCTTCAAGAGGGCCACCAAATCGGACTCCTGATTGGCCAGTTTCACCTGCAAATTAAATGGACAAAAAACACAGAATAAATAAATAAATAAATAAATACAACTTGAATTAACAATGTGAATTAACAGGTGGGTGAACAAAGGATTACTAGTATAAATAAACAGTGTTGACATAAGGGTCTTCAAAAGGATCTCTGCTTCTTTGTGGAGGAATGCAATATGAAACTTCTGGTATGAAGTGTCATGCTTAAGGACAGCAGACAAGCCAGACAACCAGACAGACAAACCAACAAACCAACAAACCAACAAACCTCCAGGGCCTTTGTGGATGCCGGTTGCCGTGGCAGCTCCAATCCAAACATGCCAATCCTGAATGCCAGGTGGTGACAGTCCGGCTGCTCTGACAGCACGCTGCAGAGAAACGCCGCCTTGGCTAACGTCATGGTGGACAGGGTGCTCTGCTGGTGAATGTGCTTCTTGCGTGCCTAAAATTTAAAAAAACCAGAAAAATAAATACAGACACGATCAACTGACTTCAATCTTAAGACATGATCTTCATTAGAAGATATGGTTATCTGCCACCCCCTCCATAAGAATGATCTGAATGTTAAGTAAAGACATTTACATTTAATAGCCATTAAAAGGAAAGAAAAATTGTAAAAGAACCTGAAGTGCCTAAACATATAGTTACACCCATTTAACACTGGTTTTCTGGAGAAGTTGCCAAACCAAAAAGTATTATGAGCAACTCTTGTCCACCCAAATAGTTTTTGGTTTCAGAAAGGAAAACTTAAAAGTTCGAATTTTTTCATTATCTGGACTGGGGAGACTTTACAACCAACTGTAACAGTCACCTTTTTGACGTAGTTGCTCCTAACGGTTTCAAATGTCCAACTTTTCATACTTTCATCTCAAACTATTCATAACTTTTCATACTTTGTACAATTTCTTTGAAGTAATTTTGATAAATATGAAACGTGTGTCATTTCAGCTTTTTCAGCAATACAGATTTAATACAAATATGCATAGTGCCCATCGAAGTGAAGAAGAACAATTTGACCGTACCCTGTTTGAGAGGTTACTGGGCGGAGGGTGGTCAAGCTCGGGAGGGTTAGCCAGCATCTCGTCGGCTAGCTCGATGGCCAGCTTACAGGCGTGCCTGGTGTAGCCATGGGCATGGAGAGCCTCCGCACGGGAGAACATGATCTAGAAGGGTCGAAAGGTCAAAAGGTCAGAGGGAAGAAGGACAACAGTCAGACAATGGTGAACAATAACAAGCTTGTTTTTTAAGGACAAAGAATCTTTTCTCACAAGGTCTTGGACAGTGTTGAGTACACAGTGGGCATAAAAATAATGTCTACCAGACGCAAAGTTCCATTTCAGATTTGGATATTTGTCTGGAATTGCGAATTGTTGTCACTTGATCTTGGTCATTAAAAATTGAACAGATTATACCACAGATGAAGCCTTCGTCTTTTCAGTTCAGAGCAACATTGTTATCCGTCGCTATGACAAATAGGTAATGATTATGTAATTTATTTTTCTCATTTTTACAACTGGCATTAACTTGACCTTTTTTCTTACCTCGATTTGGTCTTCCATCTTTTTGATACTAGCAAACGGATTTGGCGCATCGCTCTTCTTCTTGGGCGTCTGCTCCGTCAGCTTGGCCTTGGTGTCATAGAAGTACACCTGGTACTCATCCCCTGAATTCCGTCGGTCGTTCCCCTCGTCACCTTTGACCTCCTGGTTGCTAGGATTCCCGACATCGAGGGAGGAATCCGAGTCTGGCTGCAGGCTTTTAGGCGGCGACTCCAGACAAACGTCAGCTGAGTCAACTGACTCGCTGCGCTGTAAGTGTTTTAGTTTGGCTTTGCGTTTCCCCCCGGCTTTCCCGTCCCTGCTTTCGACACTCACAGCAGGTGCATGCCCCGCCCCTGATTGGCTGGTTCTTAACGGGGCGGCCCCGCCCTCCGCACCTTTTTCCGAGGGGCAGGTGCATTCCATACCCTGAAAATCGGAGTCTGTGTCCTCCGATCGACTTGAGCTTAGCACACGTTGGTCGTCCACGCCTGAGCTGCTACTACTGGAGCTGGACTCTGAAGAGCTCAATCGGTGTAGCTCATTGCCGGAACTCTTTGGAATGTCCCTCAGTTTGGGATCTACCTCTGTTATGGTGGTACAGCCCGATTCCTCAGTCCTGACTGGTGGATTCTGCTGGGATGGTCTACTCTGTTGGGTGTGATGGGGGGTAGTCCTTTTACCGGAAGGTGGTTTTGTGGTTTCAACCCTGTCTTTCCGTGGGTCAGTGTAGGTCACCCCTTCAATGGGGTAATCGTGCCAGTCCATGAGGCAGGCCTCAATCGCTGGCTTGAATCCTTGGAAAACCTCAATGTCCACGCGCCGCACGTTTGTCACGTTGCCCACTGTGTTGGCAAAGTTTGGTCCTCGTCCTTTACGTACTTTATCAATGACCTGAAGGTGCCACTTGCGTAGTTCCTCCTGTAGTTCTCCCTTCTCTGTGGGCGTGATGGCGGGGTTGAGCGCCACCAGTCGCCACAGCGAGACGATCTCGTCACACATGCTGGCGCAGGCGTGCTGCGCGACGGCCGTGGTGCTGTTGCTGTTGGCACGGTGACCGTGGTTGCCATGGTGAGAATGGAGGGCGGAGGTCCTGGTGCTGAACCACCAAACGACAATCTGAAAGATGAGAAGATGACAAATGTCACATCGGCCAAGAACTGACAATCTTTACAATATGTCCACCTCAATATCTCAGTGACATTTCAAAATTAGCATACTGAATAGAAAGTCATGCAGATCTACTCTGATCAAGAAATGATGCATGTAGATCAAGAAATGATGCATCTGTAGTGATCCTGAAAATAAACAAATAGATGCTGCGTACAACCAGAGAGCTTAAAAAAAATATGAAGTTGGAAACAAGAGAGCTACCAGTGGATTTTTAAGATCATCCTTAAAATGTCAAGACTTTTTTAAAAGCTCATGGACGGAGTCAAGGTTTTAAGATGCTTGTTTCAAGGTACCTGATCGCAGATGATGCATTCCTCCGTCAGTATCTTGAGGAGGCTGATGGCATTGTTATCTCTCCTCCGACACATCTCACGGACAATGGAAAGAAGATTCCAGATGCCTTCCGGCTCTCTGCCTCTCAGTGGTCTCAGGAGGTTGGTCCATTCGGCGGCTGCTTGCGGGGCACTCGATGACAGATACAAGGAGGTGACATCACTGGAAGAAAGAACAAAGAAATGATGTAGGTTTGGTTTCCAGTAGCTAGGAAGACAGAAATCACAACCAAGATTCTGTGGAAGTTGTTTAGCCCCCACACATCCCACCTCAATGCCCCATTTTTTTACCTGAATACAATAGGTGTTGGTCCTGTGAATCGTATCAGCGTCTTCTTGATATTCTCATGCATGACGGCATCATCTAGGAACCATCGTGTCTGCTCGGAAGCCGAGGGGCCGGCCGTTGGGTCCGGGGCTCCACAGACCATGTTGATAGTGTTAGCTTGGGAGGAGAGCAGCTCATCCAAGAGGCGTTGGGCCGTCGGTAAGATCTGCCAGGTCAGCGAGTTATTAAATAATTAATAAATAATAATAATAACAACAATGTAAATCAATCATCATAATTATTTGTTAATTTTTTAAATTTTATTTTACCTGCCGAGGCAATTCACTGATCAAATACTGCGAGAACTTCTGCAGCTGATCCCGATGCAGTCGCGACAGCGACTCCGAGACCGGCGCCCTCAGGCAGACCTGGGAAGGGTGTACGATGCGAAACAGGCAGAGCGCGACCACGTGACTGCACCACTTGCTGGCCGAGGAGCACGTGCAGGAGCAGGAGGAAATGCGACGACGGTCAAAGGTGATCGCGACGTTGAACGTTCCTTGCTGCGTCATGCCCTGGGTGGGTACCACCGTACCACTCAGGTGGAAACCTATCTGTAAGGCATCTTTCACTGCCTTGCTCTTGACCATGTGCTCCCCTTTCTGGTATTCATCCGGGCTGCCATTGGCCAAGCAGGAATACAATCTGCATATAAATGAATACAAAGTATGAATATTCATAGCTGCTTTGCTCTAGACCATGTGCTCCCCTTTTCTGGTATTCATCTGGACTCCCGTTGGCCAAAACAGGAATACAATCTGCATATAAATGAATACAAGCAATGAATATTCATAAAGAGAATGCTTTGCTCTTGACCACACAATCCCTTCTTCTGTATTTATCTGCAATCCAAGCAGGAATACAAACTGCATACATTAATACAATGCATGAATATTCATAAAGAAACTGCTTTATAGTTCTTCCTTTTCTGAAATACATGGACTACCATTGGCCAGGCAGAAATACAATCTGCATAAATGAACACCAGGATGAATATTCATAAGGGTCCCTCTCACAGGCCTCTTCTACATACCTAATATCTTCCTCATTCTCAGGGAAGCTCCAGAACGCGATGCGTAACTGTAGATTTTCCGGGACAGGTGGGTAGATGCGCTCTACGACCTCGAAGGGGAAGTTGAGGGCGACTGTCTTGGCAGACAGCTCGACCAGCTGAATGACTGTAAACAAAAAAACAAAACGGACCGTAAAAAACAAAATTCATGGCACTTTGCTCCTGAGAGTGCATCGAATCCAAGGAGACACAGCATATATCACCTGCTGTTGGACTCAGTTGGACTTGGCAGTTCAGGGATTGATTGTATCTGTCTGTTTGATGTTAAAGTATTGTGATCATTATTAAGACTATTGTGATGTAAAGGCTTCCGTTTCTGGAAACTGTGGTTACATCTTTACGTGTATTTTCATCTCCTTTTTTAAACGGACATTTAGAAGATTCCATTTCAGGAAATAGTTTTTGAAATTGAAACTTTGTTGTTGTTACAAAACCATTATTTCAAAATTCAGAAAGCTACGTTATTGTAGTCTTCTGATTATGCTTGCATTACCAAATATTTTCTCCCTTTTTTGATCAAACAGGCTTTTCATCATTGTAATTTCTTGAGTTTCAAAATTTTACAAAATTTTTCAAATATTTTTTAACTTTTCCATACTTTACACAACACATCATTGATTTTTTTCACACTTGATTTTCATTTTTTCTTTGACTTTGCGGTCTAGTCTTGATTTTAGAAAGAGGAAATGGATCTAACTTGTCCGGTATCTTTTCCCGGTACCCGACCACTGTTACCGGTAACCGCCTGGCAACCAGTAACGCAATGTTTAGAGCCCACAAGCTGAGTTTCACACACAGGAAATTGAATGTGTTCTGCAGCACATTATTTCCATCGAGTTTATGTTACCTTTTCCTCAGGAAATAACATCAAATTGAAGAGATTTAATTTTTTTTTAAAGGTTTGACGAAGAACAGAAATATAATATAGGGAAACCAGGAAAGGGTTAAACTTGTACATTTTCAACGAAAAACAAAAAAATATTATTATTACAATTTTTTCTTGGACAAGAAATGTAACACCATAATTATTGAGGAAACACTGAAACCGAACACGTGTGGGTCTAATTCAAAGTGTACAAAATGCCCTTTAGAATTATTGTCTTGTAATTAAGAGGAAAACAATCATTGCATGTTTGCTATAACAACTAGTCATGTATTCCAACATCAAGGCTAACTAAATGCCAAGTTCGATCTACAATTACATTTACCCAGTATATAGCAGTTTAATGTTTATGTATGTAGTTCAGTTCAAGGTTGCTTGATTGCAATCTGATACAAATATATACATGTAGTCAGTTAGCCTTGACTTCTGATCTTTTTGATAAAATTCCAAAAGTACAAAAGCGAAAGAATTCTGAAATAGTGATTCGGTATTTCAGTGTTCAGTATTTACTACATAAATGAACAAATATTTGTTTCAGTTGTCAAACGTTCTATTGTTAACTAAGATCAACATTTGCCAATTTAAAGAACGTTTAGCTTAAAGTTGAAGGACTATCGTGATAGCAAGAACACAAACATGTACTGTACGTACGCCTACCGTGTAAGCGTAACTATTTATGTGTACTGTTTTAGGACTGGTTCATACTCGGAGTGATCCAATGCGAACGCAAACGCGAAATTGTGACGTCAAGATTTCGCATTGCAAAAGATGAACGTAATTCAACTCTGGTGAATTTCGCAGCGAACATTTCATGCCGTCTACTTTCGCGTCAATTATGAATCAGCCTTTAGCGAGAATCAGAAATTATGCTCAAACCGTTGTGAAAATTAAGTCAAATTTGTGAAAACAGGATGAAAAAACCTGCAATGTCACAAAACACCACTAGAGTTGGCTTGTTAGATTATCATCTCACTGTCTGAGATTTCAGGGGGAAGACTTTTCTGACTTGCTCCTTCTATGTATTTTTTTTTTACACTGAACTGTAATCTCAGCATATTCTAGACCTTGATGGCCATAATAATCATATTTGCTCTCTTTACACACATTGCACATGACGCGCAGGTTGAAGGCTACGGGTAAAGGTCAGATCATGTGTGTCAAATTAGTCAACCAGCAGCCATGGTCCAGGTCGTCTGGGGTCAAGTCTGTGAGAACAACCTTGACAATTTACAGCTGAATAACAACAGTATTGGCAACACTAACAGCTGACAGAGCAAAAACAAACACAAGTACTGAAGAAAAAAACGGTTACACCTCTATGTTCCGACACCCCTATGTTCCGACTGCACATATTCCTATTCCTAACCCTAACCCTAACCCTAACCGGGAGTAACACAATCTACGTTGTCGGAACATAGGGGTGTCGGAACATAGAGCAGTCACCAAAAAAAACCCCACTGATTGTAATAAAATTTGAGTGCAACTAAATTATTGGTAGTTATAAACAGAATACATCGACAAGTGTGATTTTATTTTTGTTTTCGAAAAAAATATGAAAGAATGTTCATCCAGATGCAAAAAAATGAAGTCTTACAAAAGTTTGATTTCTTTTATTCATGCTTTGATGATGGTTTTTATTAAGGGCGAAATAATCAGACACACAACAATTAATACTGATGAGTTCAAAAGCATGTTTTACGAATAAACGCCACATTCATTACGTCCAATGAAAAAGGAACTTAGGCTACAACAGGGTTCGCTTGATAGCAACTGAGCAATTCTACAATGTAGCCTGATGACACATATGCCCACCAATTTTAGAATGAGCCAAAAACGGGCTAAATTTAGACTGAAAACCGTCTGGAATGGAACGGGAGATAAATTACTTCCTTCCCCTGCGACTGACGGCTTTGTTCATCGCGGTACCGGCTGCGTACATGACTCCAGGAGACTTGCACGAGTCAAATGGTGAACACAAAAGATGGGTCATCCAGTTATAATTACATGTACTATAGTAGATTGAATAGCGAACGACGTATTTTGAGGCTGAATTGTGGTGCACTCTGGGACTGGGAAAAGTCTATGACTATACACGGATGTCATCCCAGGAATCTGTTTTCTTGAATTTATGATTTCAGGCAAAATGTTTTGGGACAAATGGGTTAACTGATCTGGTGTGCAATGAAAAATTGCCAGATGAATAATTTCAAGTATTTCAACCTGGAACACATTTTGTCTTATGGTGGACAAGCCAGTTTTTAAATGCTATTGTCACAGACAAACTAATGCCAAAATTGATCAAGTCTTTTGTTGGTGCATTTATAATAATTATAAAATTGAACAAAGAAATTGTCTGGTGCAGGGTATGAACCTGTAACCTTTTGGAATGCCGTACCAGTGCTCTACCGACTGAGCTATCCAGCCCTACATGTATGCTGGTGGTTCCCCAGTTTGTTGATGTCTTTGTTTGTCAATGTTTTCGTTTTTCAATGTCATTGGAAAGATTACCACTGGTTTAGCAAAACATTCATCATCATTTAAGAGCAGCATATCTGTTTCTGACAATCAAGTTCACAGGAATATTAACGACAACAGATGCAGCATCTTTAATATCCAATAAATTACAGTCATAATTATGTTTACGACAATGGCAATATGATACGTATATCCATGAAGGCAATGATAAACTAATTCACAACAGCACAGTAAGAAATCTGCACATTGCATGAATTGTTTGCCCCCCCCCCCCCCAACAAAAATAGATTTACGATATGTATACTGTACGTGTAACAGTATCTTGCCTTAAGAACAACAAAGAAAATGGAAAGTGGGATTCAAGCATCAGTGATCGTAAACAGAATCTAGCACCCTGGCTTTGTCTGCTGTTATCTCTTTGGATTAGAGACCCAGCCACCAGACTCACGCCAAGGTTGACTTAACACAGCAATTTAAATCTGATAAATTGCAAGGCTTTTTGTACTTGAACCTTCAGACACAGTGCAAGGCTAAACCGATGCCTGGGGGCTGGGCTAATTACAATGCCATATTGCTCGGATCTGATGAGGTTCAAAGGTTTTCCTGTGCCTCACAACAACAATGCATGCATATGATAAAGGTTGCGTACATGACATGTATGCACGCATGCAGCCTGTAAAGTGCATGCGAATTTACCATTTTCGGGTAATTTTATGCCTCCAGAATTGTGGATGATGTTGTTAATGAATCCCAGAGTCTTTTATTAACAGTGGACAAGGGCATTTGAACTTACGTGTTTGCATTCATCGCGCGTGTACAACGTACAATGCATTTTCTTAAGTCGGGTATTATCGCAATATTTTATGCATTGTTCACCTTTTGGTCCTACACGTACATTGTAATCTATATGATATCCACGTACTTTCATATGACAAATATATTTCTACAAATGGCATGGATTATGAACCAATAGAATGATTTTTTTTTTATAAAATAGGATAATCCTGAACAACTTGCATATTGTGTGGATTGGATATATTTTTCTGATCCAAGTAACGCTCACATGTGACACCTTTGAAGAAAATAGAAAACTTACACTGTACATGTGTATACGTACGTACATGTCCTACATAGCGTACGTTATCCCAGCAATATCAAAATTGCTGTTCATTACATGCACCACTTCATACATGATCATGGATATTCCATGTACATTGAACATGTACATTTTGTGTTTGTACCTGCACTGTGAAGTGCATGCTCGCCTTTTTAGATTGTGCTGTGTAATTTGGGGATGTTAGACTGCACAACCACTTGTGATAATGCTGCTAGTGCTACTATCTTCGGCCAGAAAAAAAGGCTAAAATTTCTCTCCCCAGACAGAATAAATTCACACGGTGTTGTGTAGGGGAACATATACATGAAAAATCTTTTCATTTTAAGCAAGTAAAAAAATATTACTCTTCCAAAATCTTGATTATATTTTTATAATAATGTACTAAACAAATATCTAATGTTCTCAAGAAACTAAAAAACAAGACACTAAATGATTTATAAGGTGTTGTGGGGGGGGGGGGTATGAATTTATGGATCTGTAGCACGCACCAGGGCCAAATTTCACGGCGCTGCTAAGCACACGATTTTCTGCTAACAGAGCTTCTGTCTATTTCATGGCGACTGTAAGCATAAGAAGGCACGCTTACTTCAGAGAAGAAATTGCTTAACTTAGTGACATAGGCTAGGTAACA